AGATATATATATATAGAGATTGTATAGATATACGCTATATATATATATATACATATATATATATATATATATATATATTGGGACAGCGACATCCAATTGTAATGGTCCCGTATCGCACCTTACCTTACTCATGGTAAGGCCAGGTAACGAAGAGAAGGCAGTTGCCGATCTCAGGACCACCCCTTCCCTCCCCATCTCCGTCCGTCTCATCAGTTGCTGCTGCCCCCCGTCCATCCATCCATCCATCCTGCCAGCGGACCTGAACCACTTGAGTCCGACCTACTGCAAGTACCTTACCTAGGTACCTGGGAGCCAGGGTACCTTAGCACCTGAGCTACCTTGTACATGTACATGTAGGTGATCGCGACTCGGATTGTGCCCATCTCTCTCTCTGATCTTGTCCCGTCGCTCTCACATTGACGTCTGTTTGGGCACTTCCTCCTATCTTGCCTCCTCTCTTGCTGTTGCTCCTACCTTACCTGTCCCGAAACTGCATCCGCACACTATACTCTCGCCTTTTCGTTTCTGGCCATTACCTTCGGGCCATAGTCCATCAGGTAGTCTACAGTCCACAGTCCACAGTCCACAGTCCACAGTCCACAGTCCACAGTCCACAGTCCACAGTCCACAGTCCACAGTCCACAGTCCACAGTCCACAGTCCACAGTCCACAGTCCACAGTCCACAGTCCACAGTCCACAGTCCACAGTCCACAGTCCACAGTCCACAGTCCACAGTCCACAGTCCACAGTCCACAGTCCACAGTCCACAGTCCGCTCCTCAGCCCACAGGTCAAACAGTCCACAGTCCACAGTCCACAGTCCACAGTCCACAGTCCACAGTCCACAGTCCACAGTCCACAGTCCACAGTCCACAGTCCACAGTCCACAGTCCACCGTCACACTTAGACTTGAACCACACGCTGCACCGCCCACTCCACGTCGAGCCTGCACCTTGTCTCACCGTTCGTCTTGACGCGTTCATCACTCGCCCTCCCACCCAAGCCCGGTATCAGATCCCGACCTTCCTTTTTGCCTTGCACCGCTTTCGAATTGTCGGCTTGTCCATCGTCAATGCAAACCGAGTCACACATCTGATTGCAACGACGTCAGAACAATTGGTACGTACACTGCTTTTGCTACCACTCCCCCCCCTACAGACACAGACACGCGACCGGCCGATTCTTGGGAGCCCTAGCCCGGATCGTCGTCGTCCCATCTGGCTCGCCCTGGGCACCTCGTCTGGTTACTGGTAGTCGCGTCGGACGATCGCCACTGTCCCGCTGGCGACGAAACCCAGTTCCTTTGACCCATCCAAGCAGGACAGGCAGCCAGCCAGCTAGACAGTCAGACAGCCAGCTAGACAGGCAGCCAGCCAGCTAGACAGTCAGACAGCCAGTTAGACTGTCAGCTAGTAGCTAGACAATCAGACAGTACCATGGCGTGGAAAAGGAGGCAGGTCCCGGCGCCGGCATTGGCCAACCCTCCAACTTGCCTAGTGCCGCTGCCACGAGCTCGCTCCCACGAGCTCGCTCCCACCCCAACCACTCGATCGTTCTGCGAATCGCAACCATCCATCGACCTGCTGCCGCGCGCGCTGCTCTCCGTGACAAGCAACTTCCTGGCACCTGGCTAATCACTTCATTCTACCCAGGCACTGCACATTGCCCTCCCATTACTTTTCGCGCGCGACTCCGCCCCAGGTCTTCCTGCCTACCTACCTAACTTCGTGCCCTCAGCACTGCGCTCCCTCACTTGCCTTGGCTTTTTACGCAGCCCAAGCTTCACTCGAAACAGCACCCACCCTGCGACGGCGCCGCTGCCGCCAAAACCCCTTATTGCGACCAACCCACGCATAATCGCAATCCGCCCTGCGGCTCTCTGCTACCTACCCCCTTTTCGCCTTCACCGTTGCGACGCACTGTCGACCTCCACCCCCCTCGATTGCCTAAATAGCCCGCTGCCGCTTCCCTGCTGCGCATCATTTCAGTTCCTATCCTCACTGTTGCAGCAGGTGCACCAGGTCGACGGACATTGACCCGTCGTTCTCCGTCTGCTTGCGACCCGGTCTGGGAGACACACGCGCCCTCGTTCGACCCTACCCACGCATCTGCCGACACGGCGTCATCCGCCATCCGTCATCCTGCGACCAGTCGAACCCCACCAACCGACCCAAAGCCTGTTCGCTCAGCGAGCAACGACAGCTGCCACCAGACTCAGCCGGGTTCGTCATAAGTCAAGCCCAGTCCCGCCCCAGTGGTTCGTCAATTGACGTCGCGCTTCACACCCTTCTGTCTCTCGCTTGCCCGCCAAGCTCCACCCTCTCATCGCGACTACTCAGCCTGAAACTGTCTGTCCTTTCATGCCATCTCGGCCAGCTGCACTTTTACCAAAGAATGAGCCAGCCGCCCGTCCGTCGCTCCAGCCTAGGCATGTTGCTCCGACGCAGTAAATCCGGTGACCTGGGGAAGGGCGGTAAGAAAGCCCAAGCCCTGAGGGAGCAGGAACTCGAACGCCAGCGCCAGCAGGCCGCCATCTCCAGGAATCCCCCCAAGCTTCCCGACTTTTACAACGCCCACGACCAGCTTCCTCTCTCCAACTCCATCCCCTCCGACCTGCGCACCGACGCCGGCTCTGTCTACTCCGACGATCACCGCGGCGGCGGCATGTACACCACCTCCCGTCCCTCCATGGAGCCCGCCTACAGCGTCGTCGGCGCTCCCCCCGTCCCTCCCATCCCCAGCAACGCCTACGACCCCTATGCTCGCACCGAGAGCATGACCCATCGTGGCCGCTACAGCTATGCCAGCAGTGCCATCAGCACCATCAACAGCCCTAGGCGGGTCAGGAGACGCAAGGATCCCACGCCCTTCAAGTAAGTCAACGATGCCCCGCCCGCTTGCCTTCCCTTCCCTTCCCGGCCCACCGATCTGCCATGTTTGCCATGTTCGCCATGCTTTGCCGTGTCTCACCCCGCTCACATTGCTTTCCCTCGGCAGCATCCTCATCATCGGCACACGTGGCGCCGGCAAGACCTCCTTCCTCGAGTTTCTGAAAACCAGTCTAGCGCTCCCTCCGAAGAAACGATCACGCCGCGGCGAGATCGAGGAGGAAGCACCCCGAGTGGCTGCGTCGGGTAACTTTATCCCCCATTACCTCGAGACGGAAATCGAAGGGGAGCGTGTCGGCCTTACACTTTGGGACTCGGAGGGTCTGGAGAAGAATGTCGTCGATCTCCAGCTCCGCGAGATGTCGGCCTTCTTGGAAAGCCGCTTCGAGGAAACCTTTGCCGAGGAGATGAAGGTTGTGCGATCGCCTGGCGTACAAGATACCCACATTCACGCTGCCTTTATGGTTCTTGACCCTGCCCGGCTTGACCGCAACCTGGCGTCCGCCAAGGTCACCTCAGCCAATGGCCACGGTGGCAAGCCGCTTCTCAACCGCGTGTCCGGTGGCCTCGACGAGGATCTCGACCTCCAAGTCCTGCGTACCCTGCAGGGCAAGACGACGGTCATCCCCGTCGTCTCCAAAGCCGACACCATCACGACAAAGCATATGCAAGTTCTGAAGAAGGCTGTCTGGGACAGCCTGAAGAAAGCTAACCTGGACCCTCTGGAGGCTCTCGGCATGGGCGACGACGATGACGACTCGTCGGACCGTATCGAGGAGGCGGACGAGGACGCGCTCGAGAATGATTCCGATCAGTCCCCCGAAGACGATGATCTGCCAATCCAAGGCGGTGACGAGGCGGTCCGGTCCGTGCCGTCTTCGCCATCGGCCAAGAGACTGTCCGGCCAATCCATCCGCCGCCACAAAGCCAAGGAGGAGGAGAAGCAAGAGAAGGACGAAACTCCCTTCCTGCCTCTTTCCATCATCAGCCCAGATCTGTATGAGCCTGAAATTGCCGGACGGCAGTTTCCCTGGGGGTTTGCCGACCCTTATGACGAGCAGCACTGCGACTTTAACAAGCTCAAAGAAGCCGTCTTCACCGAATGGCGGGCTGAGCTTCGCGAGGCCAGCCGCGAGCAATGGTATGAGGGCTGGAGGACATCCCGCCTCAAGAGCAGGGATCCCGCGAACCGCCGGCGATAGAGCCCTGACGCCTCTCTGGACAATAATGGACAACCAGCCATCCGCGGTTAATTGGATCACGAACGCCCTCTCTTGTTTCGCTTTCTTTTTACTTTTTCTCTCCAGAGGGCTGGCGCTTTTCATGGCCGTACCTTGGCCTTTTCTGACGACGGCTTATGATTCCTCGGCATTTGCAAGAGAACCCCACCGTCGATACCACAAACAGACCTACTCGAGTCTGCTCCATCCTTTTCCTTGCTCTCTTTTCCCCTTCTCCTGCAGTTGCCACCGCTTCCTTCACCTGGGTGCCTGGCAACATGTAGCATACCCCTTTTTACCTATCTCATGCGTTACACTCCTTTCGCCACACATACTTTGATGAACTTTACAAAACTGTACGGTCATAGACGGATCCCGAACAAATAGTGCAAACGCCACTCGATGGAAAGATGAGGCAGGAGGCCCATGGTCTCCCTGTCGTCTTGCAGTCGGGATGATGCGGTTTGCGGTGGCGCAAGTCAGCCCTCAGGATGGACGATGGAAGGGTTGAAATGGTTGACGGAGTGTAAAAAACAGAGGGCCAGACGGAGGGCCCTGATATTTCTCTCCTGTGTTAGTTCAATTGAGATGTTTACTCGACTATCGTGCTCCCGTGTTCAGAGGACTCCATCCTTGTGTGAATCATCAGCCATTAGCTATCGAATTTCAATAGTCCCATCCAGAACACTGGCGTTTTTCGTGCCGGATATCAACCCTCTTGTTGTCGTCTAGGAACGTCTTAGCAACATGATTGCCCGATGGGTATTCGCGAAAAAAAGAAACCCTGCCCCCCGAAGACAAGTATTGTCTCATCACTCGCTTCGACTGGAGAAGGAAACAGCTCGGGTCCATAACATGCTAGACGAAGACCCTTCCGTGCCAAATTCCTCGCCAAGACCTATCCGAAGCCACCCCAAGCGACCGACGTTAATCCTCGTAAAACTCCGTGTTGGTGGCGTTTCCATCCGCGTCGACATCGCGCTCGCGCCGGTACGGGTTCTTGCCACGGCCCGTGAGCGCCTTGATCTCCTTCGTGCCGAGGAGGACCCCGTCGAAACCGGGTGGTAAGATAATGTCCGCTCTAAGACGTGCGTTAGCTGGTGCTCTGTCGGCAGACAATACGGACGCACGTGAGGGACAGCGGGGGATGACATACTTGAGAAAGTCTACTTTGAGGTTGCGCGCCTTGTCCCGAATCGCCTGCTGGCCTCGGCGGACTTCAAAGTGCCTTTCCGGGTCATACGTCGTGGGCTCTATGCCTCTGGTGCTGTGCCCGTTGTGCGGATTAGCCCCTTGTTCGATCTCGCTCCAGTTGCAGCCCAGTGTGGCGATGAAGTCGATGAGCTTGCTGACGTCGCGGTTGGACCAGGGGACGCGGTGCTGGACGCGTGAGTTCGTGGGGGTGCTGTTGCGGTTGCGCATCTGGATGGCGCGGTAGTCGGCGGGAATGGCGGAGCTCGAAAAGGAGGACGCAGTGTGGCTGCGTCCATCTTCGTCATTCGCACCAAAGGGATCCCGCTGATCGGAGGTTCGGCTGCGGTCTGGGACGGCGTGACGCTTCGGAACGGGTGCAGAGGAGCCGACGAGAGTGGCTGACGAGGGCAGCGTGTCATGACGCGAGCGTTTCGACGGTGGTGGGGGCATGGCACGTCGGTCCTCGGCGCGCCGACGCTCATCGGGCTCTCGTTCGTCTTGCTCAAAATCGTCGTCCACATCATCAGTCTCAAAGACATCTTCGTCCTGGGCCCGTGCTCGCTTCCTTTTACCGTCGTTGTTGCTGTTGGCGGACGGGAAGCTGGAGGCGGCAGCTGGTTTAGTTTGTGATCCTACAACGCGCGCCTGAGAGGATGTCTGCCGGCTCGAAGAGGGAAGCTGTCTGAGGATGGCGTTTTCGTACATGTCGCTTGTTGTCGAGGTCGGTGAGCCAGGTACATTGAGGGGACTGTCTCGGCCATACCGCGGAGATCGTGGGCCGTCATAAGTGTTACCAAAGGATGCAGGCCCGTAGGCATCTTGAGACACGCCGGCAGCTTCCCCAAGCTGCATCAATCGGGCAACAGCGCTGTTGGTGATGGGCAGCTGTTGTCCGGATCTGTATGTGGTTAGTAAATGTTATTTACTGAATCACGGGAGACGGAGAGCCTGCTTACGTCCGAGGGCGTATAACTTGTTGCGAGGCCTGAGAAAAAGCTTGCGAGCCCTCTGAGCCCGCGACAGATCTCGACGGTTCGCGGTTCCTCGCTGCGGTGCGTAGGATGTCCTGGATGGTTCGCTGCACTTTCTGAAACTGCTCGTATGCCCAGTCGATCTGGTCCGAAACCCAACCCTTTGCGGGAAACCTTTCTTTGAGATGTGGTATAATTTCTGCTGTGCTTCGGGCTTTACCTGCCGTCTCGAGGATATCTCTGACCCTGTCGTAACAAGCAGTAGCGATGGCATTTTCCAGAGGTTGCTTGAGACAACATATGCCTTTCATTTTCTCCGGGGCAAGGAGTTCGCTCGACGCTTGAGCATCGTCATCTATAGAGAATATAGCTGCCACAGCGCTCTCAATATCGAAATCTTGTTTGTTCTCAATGGCACAAATCAGGCGTTGGGTACGGATGCTAAGCGCTAGTTTGACGAATTTACCGTCCACATTCCATTCCTCACCTTCGTCAATCATCTCATGGAAGTAGGGTATGAAAGGGGCAGGAAAGTCCTGGTCCAGGCGCTGGAGAAGTGCTGTCGGGTCGAGTGAAAGGCTGCAGATCTCGTCAAGTAAACTCGCCAGATTCACGGATGCGAATATGGCTTGCGCCCGCTGCTGATCGTCCTTGCCTAGACGATCGGCTGAATCCTGTTTATCGATAAATGGCACGCTATCATCGACGTACATGCGGCGGAACTCGGTGAACGGGTGGCGGTGGACGGCGATCAGTTGTTTCCACACCTCAAGTCTCGGTCTCTGGTCTCTAAAGATCTGGTCGACCAGAGCCACCGAGGCCTGGTTGATGTCTTGCAAGACATGAGTTTGTAGCTCGATATCCTCCTTGTCGAGCTGATTTGGATCGTCGATACCCTCTTCGCTCTCATCGCCTGGTGACGACCCGTGGCGCAGGTTTGATGGCTCTAGAGAGGAATGAATCAACCGGTCTTGCTGGTTACAGTGCTCAAGCAAATTCACCTGTTTCCTCATCATCTACATTCGACTGAGAGTAGGCGTCATAGTCTGGCACGAGTCAGCAAAGTCAAGCTCTCGGGATTTCGTGGATACAAGGTGCATGCTCACCACTGTTGGCTGCAATGCTGGGCTGGATGTTGTCCAGGTTGATGCTTTGCGCACGATCCCCGACCATGGGCGCAGCACGTCGAGCTGGCGGGTCATAAGAAGACATGGGCTCGGAAGCCTCTTCCCCTCCATGTTCATTGGTAGATTCCGTAGGGTTTTCTCCATCCTTGGACTGCTTGACGCGTCGCAATGGGGGAAGTGGTGGTGATGGCTGTGTTTTGGGGGCGCGTTGGCGCGACCGCGTCACACGCCCTTCTTGCTGCTGGACGGGATGATCGGGCGCCACACGACTTGATTTCGCTCGCGGCATGGTGATGAACGCTCTAGTCTGCGCAGCTCGATTGCTTGTTGACGGGAGAGTGTGAAGCTGGTGTGACCGTGAGAGAATTGACCCTAACCCTCTAGGGTTATTGTTTCTGGCGGGCCTTCACGCCTCAGGCGCCAGTAACCCTCGTCTTGCGGAGAGGCAGGTACGTACCCACTTTCCAGTCTCAGAGCAACAACCTAGTAGCTGCAGCTCGGCACTCGGCCTGGCACTGCGAGGCAAGCGAGGCAGATGCGAGGCAGATGCGAGGCAGGGTAGGTATCGATGTTTGCTTCTTTCTTACTTACCTCACTACCTGTAAGGGACCTTACCCTTGCAAGCTACCTTTGGTGCCACAGAATGCCTGGGTTCAAGCACATTACTTCTTGCTGTGTGTGGCCCGTCCACTCAGAAGCAGACTGAACATTTGCCTTGCTTCCATCCTACCTGTGGCTTACTCAACGTGGCTAGGTACCTAGACATGGTGAGGGGGCATGGCGGTGCTGTAATTCATTGGACCCACGGCTGGCAAATGCATCACCCCTTCCCTCACGAGCGTCTTCAACTTGACCCTCATTCCGGGTCAAGACGCAAAACTTCTTATATGCCTATATCGTCTTCTTCGCGGTAGCTGGCCCTGCGCCTTCCTCACACTCCAGCTTGGTCATCGCCCACTCCGCCTCGCAATGCCCCGTCGTTCTGTGCTGCCATGATTCATGCTAGGCGTTCAGCGACAAACCGTCTCGACTTGCCGCGGTGTCGTGGCTAGCAAACACAACCCTGCAGACTTGATCCTGGCTTCGGAAGCCTCAAGGAAAACCAACTCGTCTAATGTCGCTTCACTGCCACCTTCTGAGGCAGACCATCTGGGCCAAAGAGCCCAAGCAGGTACGCCGTTCGAGTCAGGCACAAGAAGGCCTGCATCATCAGTCAGCAGGCATCGATGCAGTAGGTGGAATGTAGTCATGCTGACAGTCGCGCCGACGTTACCCCATGTCATGGCGTTCCACTGCGCAACATCGACAAACTTGCCATACCCCAGACCATGGTAACAAGCCCACAAGTGCCCGAGGTCGGCCACCCACAGCGCGACGAGGTAGTTCCGTACTACTCTGATCTCGCTCGTGGAGGACAAGACCGCGACACCGATCATGGCGAGCAGGAGGTAGAGGTTTCCCAGCTGCAAAGTCACCATGCGACCATTGTCCGAGTGCAGAAGCGGGGTCTGCCGGATTATCTGATCAGCGACAAACTTGTCCGGGTTTACGACGACTCCAAGGAACCCTGCGACCCTGTCGGCGTGTCAGTACTAGTACACTGCCCACATCATCCCACATTTCAGTAGAAAATAGATATGTAGACGCACAGCGACAGGGGTTCTAAAATGGTGAACACTGTCCGGGGAAAACCTGGTAGAGCAGAGGCCATTGCTGCTGCTCCGTCTTTCGGGGCACCTTCGGTGCTGTGCTACGCGAGAATGGGATGGACGTAGAGGAGAGAAGCGACGGGTGGCGGGCAACGTCAGAGTCAACCGACAGCCAAGGACAAACAAAGCCTTGCAGGACAAACACGGGCTAGCAGAACAAGAGGGAGGCGACAGCGCAAGTTGATGAAGCTTGACAAGTATCGGAGGGACGAGGTGCTGTTCCAGTCGAGCAAACAACAAACACGATGAAGCCACTTCAGTCTCCTCTCTGGTTTTGGCTCGGTCTTCCCTCTAATAATAAAGAGTCTCCCCACCGTGTCTCTCCACTGTTGTTCAGACGTCTAAATCAGTCAACACCCGAAACCGGATAGCCCTGGCCTGACGGTACGGTACCTTGCTTCTTTGCTAGGGGGAGGGGGCGAGAGGCGAAGTCTGTGCCTCTCCACCTTGCAAGCCCCCAAGTTCCGAGTCCAAGCCCCTCCCGTCCATGTCAAGTGGACTGATACTTAAGCCTTCCCCACGTGCTGATAAGCTCTGGTAGCGTGAAACATCTTTCGATAAGAGCGCCAAGGCAACCTTATTCGGCCAGTGCCCTCTTTGCCTCATCTTTGCTCCCGACTTGGGAGTAGGTGTCTGCCTACCTGTGCCGTGTCGCCCCTCGACCTGAGAATGACTTCGCGGAGCAAAACGTGTGCCGTCAGGAGCCGGACTTGATTGACCACGCAGCTGCTTCGGCCAAAAATACCCGCCCCGCTCTCTACGACTTCATAGTTTGTTGTCTGTTCTTATATCTTGCACATCCTTTCTGTTCATTGTGCCCTCCTCCTCCCTCTCTTGGCCTCCGTGCTCAACCGCAGGTTTCCCTCGATGCAAGAGCCGACTTCTTCCGCCCACGATGGCATTCATCGAACCACGCCTTATCCACCTGCTCAACGATGCGACAACCCCTCAGCTCGGACACATCGACCTTCCTCCCTTCACCGAAGCTTTCCCCGAAGCCTCTAATCGGCTGACACCCCTCGGACCAACGGCTGGTCGAAGAGACGAGCTTCTTGGTGCCGCACCGCCGACTGGCAACCATGGCTCCCTATCACAGACGGCGGGGGCATATGACGATGTAGGAGCGACGCTGCGCGACCCCAGGAGGGATGGGGACGCCACTACAGATAGGGGTGCCATCGCCAATGTTCCTCGCATCCCGCTGAGGTTGCTCCTCGGCGAAACGGATGAGGCCAGCCACATGTATGCTCCAGGCCAGGAAGCCGACGACGGGCCTGAGGGAAAAGACGACCCCGCATCGAAAAAGAGACACCGAGCCATGACGAACAAGGACGACCTCATGCATCTGCCACAGCCAGTGAAAAAACAAAAGGCAGCGTCGCAGACCCGACTGCCACCCATGCCGCCCATCATCAACGGACTACACGAACCTCCGCCCAACGCCGCCCTGTTTCCTCCCATCTCTTCCACCGAATTCGATACACCTGACCCCGATGCGGCGCAGCGCCAACCAGCGGCGAGGGAACTGCCACAGGTACACGAAGACAAGCCGATGGAGGTGGAGCCCTCGAAGTCACAAAAGCCGGGGAACGTAAAGACGAGAAAAAAAGCCATGAAGCCCCGAAGGAAGTGGTCAGAATCAGAGACCACACACCTGCTGCTCGGCGTAAATCGACACGGTGTGGGCAAGTGGACAGATATTCTCGCCGATCCCGAGTTTAACTTTAACAGCCGCACAGCGGGGGATCTCAAGGATCGCTTCAGGACGTGCTGTCCGACAGAGCTTCGGAAGAACGGCAAGGAAAAGTCAGCGGCGTCGGTCGATCCTCTTCCCACGCCGCCTGCGGAGGCCAAGGGAAAGGCGAAGACGGGCCTTCTTTCGGAGAACATCCTCATTGACCCTGACGAAGCATTCGACCCAGATCAGTGTCAGCAGAATACCAATGATGCCGAGACAGTGGTGAAGCACAAGAAGAGCCGCGCGCATCGGAAAAAGATTGAAGATTTGGCAGAACTCGGGATCCACGGGCCTTTCAAAAAGTCGCATCGGCGGGAGCGACGTCCTTTCTCGGAACAAGATGACCTGCAGATCCTGGAAGGGCTCGACAAGTACGGACCGTCATGGACCAAAATTCAGCGCGACCCGCGCTTCAGCCTGTCAGGCCGCCAGCCCACCGACCTGAGAGACAGAGTGCGAAACAAGTACCCAGATGTATACCAAAGGATCGAAAGGGGTCTTTTGCATCTCAAGGAGCTCAAGGAGCGAAACGACAGTGTCGACACATCGACCAACACAGCAAAGGAGAGCAGCAGTTCCCAGCCACGCCAGGCGCACCAGGGATCCATTGCCCAACTAGCATGGAAGGAAGACCTCACTCGCTGGACCGTGTCGCCAATGGAAAGCGAGGAACTGCCCGTTGTGCCGCAACCATTCGAGCTGACCGAGGCCTCGACGACAGCATTTATGGGAAGTGTTGGCGAAATGGACATTTCTCGCCTTCTGCTTGATGATTCAGAGATATCTGACCTTCCTGGCCGACACATGGCATCCGACTCTGATCTGGTGTCTCTATGACCTCAGAGCAATCCACGCCCGGCCGTTGACGGTTGGGCGAGCTAGCTTGCTGCTCGGTTAGCGCCTCATCTCGACGATGAGCCTCTGATGCAAGCTGCTTTTTCTTTTGTCAACAGGGAGGGTATCGCAGAACGACTCATGGTACCCTGCGGGGCCATTCACTTGATTTCATGGTACTCAGGACCCAAGGATGGGTAAATACCCGGCGCTTGGCATCGTCCTATGAACGAACGGCGCACTTTCAATTTGCGACCTCGTGGCCAGGTTACGACTGGCTGGCGAGTAGAAAAAAAAAACGGATCGGCAACGGAACACGGCAAATGGAAATGATCTAGATGGAGAACTGTCGCTTCTGGCACAAGAAGGGGGGAGACTCGAAAACGGCATCACTGCCTGGGTCGATTCACATGTCCGATAGAGTGCGTTCCGTGCAGTTGTGTGTACCGTTTGTAGAAATGATCAATCGTGAAAGAGTTTCCTCGACGCCTTTGGTTCGCATGATCATGTCTTGTCCATCCCCTGTTATCTGTGGATGATGTGCTCCAGCACCGCCTCTCTTCGCGGTGGTTCGGATCTCGGTCACTACACCGAGGATGGATGGGGCGATTTCGGTCAGTCTGTGGTGGGCGTCAAAGGTGGTCGGCACGGGCCCACATAATACGACCAATAGTATCGCTCTCAAGCAGTCCCGCCTGTCCAGGGCAAGAAAACCTACCTCCACAAAGAATTTTCTCGCCCAGGCAGGACCACACTTGTGTACAGCCCGACTTTTTGTGTGGACTTGACCTTCGACCTCACCTTCACCACCAACAAACTCCATCCACCAGACTCGGTACTAACAGTCAAGATGGGCAAGGGACTGTAAGTTCACCACGATCTCGCCCTCTACTTGACGCTCGCAATGTCTTCGAGATGACGGGCTCGCCATTCGCAGCCCCAACCTCGTCGGCACTGCCATTGTCAATGGGCGGTACGCAGCTGGTATCAACGGGATTCTGACTTGTCTCTCTTCACAGCAAGAAGCACCAGAAGCGCCTCAGCGCGCCCTCGCACTGGCTTCTCGACAAGCTGTCGGGCACCTACGCTCCCCGCCCTTCGGCCGGTCCCCACAAGCTCCGCGACTGCATGCCCCTGATCGTCTTCCTGCGCAACCGCCTCAAGTATGCGCTCAACTTCCGCGAGACCCGCTCCATCATGATGCAGCGCCTCGTCAAGGTTGACGGCAAGGTCCGCACCGACATCACCTACCCCGCTGGCTTCATGGACGTCATCACCATCGAGAAGACCGGCGAGAACTTCCGCCTCATCTACGACATCAAGGGCCGCTTCACCGTCCACCGTATCCAGGCTGAGGAGGCCGAGTACAAGCTCGGCAAGGTCAAGCGTGTCCAGCTTGGCCGTGGTGGAGTCCCATTCTTGGTCACGCACGATGCCAGGACGTGAGTCAAATCATGCCCTCGTAAGACATCATTCAGCCGTTGGATCAAGCTTTGGTCGACTCGGGGGGGAAATGATGAATACACTGGAAAGAGCAAAGAGATCCAATGCCTCTTCCGTCAGGCTGGATCTCTCGGCCCGTACGCGCGCAGCGCGCTTCGGCTTTGCTGCTGCCAAGCGTGCTGCTGCCACCTGTTGCCTCGCTGCCTTTCCATTCAACCCCCCGCGACGAGATTGGAGCGACCATCTATGCGGCTGTATGTGTCTCCCTTCCCCTCACGTATGCTAACGTTATGTTCTTTGCACAGCATCCGCTACCCTGACCCTCTGATCAAGGTCAACGACACGGTGAAGATTGACCTTGCCACTGGCAAGATCACCGACTTCATCAAGTTCGACACGGGCGCCATTGCCATGGTCACCGGTGGCCGCAACATGGGTCGTGTTGGTGTCATCACTCACCGTGAGCGTCACGACGGTGGTTTCAACATCATCCACGTCAAGGATGCCATTGACAACACCTTCGCCACCCGTGAGAGCAACGTTTTCGTCATCGGCTCTGAGAAGCCCTGGATCTCCCTGCCCAAGGGCAAGGGTGTCAAGCTCACCATCGCCGAGGAGCGTGACCGCCGTCGCGCCCACGCCATTGCTGGCCAGTAGACGATTCATGTTTTCTAGTCCAGGTCAATGGGGGCGGGGGGGAGCAAACAGGGTTTCAAAAAGGGTGTTGAGTGCAAAGCATGAGACAAACGGAGTACAGGGCTGATTTCGAGTTTTCGGCTTTATGAACTACTACCCGGCGGGTAGCTGTAGCCAGCAATACCATGCCATTGAAGATCACCCTGACGTTACCTGTTATTCTTTTCCGATGCTTTCAAGGTGACCTGTGATGTGTTGTGTTCCATGAAACATGTCTGATCGTGGCTGTTGTTCCAGCGTTCGAACCTATACTCACGGCCGAGGCCTCTCACTGCATGTCGACAAGACTGACAACATGTTGTAGGGATGAACTACGACACGATGTAAACTACCTTGGTTGAGCATAAAGACGCGTCTATTTTTCTACAGATGAGTCCATGACGACCCTTTGCTGACGGAAAATGGCACAGCATGTCCCCCGACCAAGACACCATACGTCCCGGGCTCCATCCTCCAGGCGACCTCGTTCTCATCCCAGTAGCTGCACGCTACTTTGAGATCGACCGCGAGCTCGACCGTCCTCGACTCGCCCGGTTGCAACATGCTCTTGTCAAAAGCCTTGAGCTCCTTCCCAGGTCGCGACACGGCCGTCTCTTTTGCCGGCGAGACATACAGCTGCACGACCTCCTGACCGGCGACGCGGCCGGTATTCTTGACCGTGACACAGCATCGCAAGACGGCCGTTTCCGCGTCTTCTTCCGCCGTTGCGCCGAGCCCCTCATACTGAAAACTCGTGTACGACAGGCCAAAGCCAAAAGGCCACCTGACCCTGTCTCCGGCCGCCGCCTGCGAAGAGCGGTAGCCGACCTCGACGCCCTCGGCATACTCAATCCGCACGCTGCCGTCCTCCAGCTTGCGGGCCGGAAAGTGGCCGAAGCTCGGCGCGTCCTCGAGCGTCTTGAACCACGTCGTCGCCAGCCGGCCGCTCGGACAGACGGCGCCCGTCAGCACGTCGACGACGGCCCGCGCCCCCTCCTTCCCGGGAAAGTGCGCGAGCACGACGGCGTCGACGTCGTCGACAAAAGCGCTGACGTCGATGGAGTTCCCGCAGTGCAGCAACGAGCACCGTCTTCTTGGACGTGGCGGCCACGGCCTTGATGAGGGCGGCCTGGTTCGCCGGCATGCGAATGTCGTCGAGGTCGAAGCCCTCCGACTCGTACTGCTCGTCGCGTCCCGCGTAGAGGACGCTGACGCCTGACGTGCGGGCCAGGGCGACGGCGTTGGCGATGGCCTGCTGCTCGTCGTACGCCTTCGAAGCAGAGGCTTGCCACGTAGGGGGTTGGCTCGCCGATGACGAGCTCGGGAGGGCCGGCCATGTCGAGACGGATGTCGTAAGAGACGCCGGCTTCCATGGATACTTGCGTGCCTGTCTCGAGGAGGATGTGGTTGAAGATGAATTGCTCCGTCGGGATGCCCTTGTCTGAGCCCGTCAGGACGGTTTCGCCGTTGACACTGAGGGTGAACGCTCCCGTGCATCTGATGGCTAAGGTGTGGTCGCCGGACGTGGACGGTGTCAGTTTGGTTGTGATCTTCAGCCGGGACCCAGGTACCTTGAGGCCTGGCTTGAATTGCCCGAGCATCCAGACGACGGGATTGGCCTGGTGCTCCTCCAAGAGCGGCTCGGGCGAGTCGTCGTTGTAGTAGGTCACGTCTGCGCCTGGACGGCCATCCTTGGCGACGAGTTTATCAGTGTCGGCGACAGGTTTGATTCGTCGCGTCCGCACGCCAGGAGAGCATCGCACGCGCTCTGCGTTGTCTGCCGCCTCTTTCCAGAGGTCGATAGGTGAGCTTCTGTACTGCGGCGTGCATGAAGCGCTGCCGCCTCCAGTGATGACGGAGTCTCGCGCGAACTCCCCAATGACGGCAACCGTGTCGGCAGAGGACTGTGTCAGGTCAAGAGGCAGTGCCTGCTGTTCGTTCTTCAAGAGGACAATGCCGCTGGCCGCCAGCTCCCAGGCCAACCGGTTCGTCTTCTCATTGACGATGGACTTCTCGGTGCTGATGCCGTGGCACGCCTTGGTCCGGTCCCGCAGCTCCAGCATTTTGAGCATGCGAGCATCGACCTCGCCGATGGCCACCTCGCCCGCCTCGACGGCTTTGACAAGCCTGGCGCCCCTGAAGATGGGAAACGGTATCTCGAGGTCGAGGCCGGCCTGGATGGGTGCGGCCGTGTGGTGCACGGCGAACCAGTCCGACATGGTGATGCCCTTGTACCCCCATTGGGCCCGGAGCACCTCCTCCATCAAGGGCCTGTTCTCACTGCAGAAAGCTCCATCGACCTTGTTGTATCTGGTTTGGTTTTCACGTCAGTCTTCAGTCCTCGCGTCTCTCGCGTATTCGTACGCCTCGAATAGGGGCTCCTTACGCCGTCATGATGCCCACAGGATCAAATGTCCTCAACAGATGCTGCCAGGCGGCGACGTAGACCTCTCGCAAGGTCCTGCTGTCCGCCGAATGCCTGACGTCGTAAAAGTGCCTCAGCGTCTCCGAGTCGTTGCAGACAAAGTGCTTGGGGCACGCGCCGAAACCCATGGCCTGGATGCCGTTGACAACGGCGCCAGCAAGACGGCCCGACAGGAGGGGATCCTTGCTCACGCACTCAAAGTTGCGGCCGCCGCGCGGATCGCGGTGGATGTTGATGGTAGGCCCCAGCACGACCTGGGCGCTCTTCATGCGCGCCTGGCGGGCGAGCTCGCCGCCCAGGCGACCCAGGAGCTCGGCATCCCACGTCGAACCGTAGCATGCTGTGTTGGGGAAGCTGGCTGTTGTGAGGTCCGCCTCGATGCCCGCGGGACGGATGCCACTCACGGAATCAGCGACCTGAAATATGTCAGTGTATGTTCTACTTTTCGTGAGCAGGTTTCACACTCTGGTGGGTGGTATGCCGAGCCTCTCAACGCCAGCTGCTGTAGAAAAGTCGCGACCTGAGAGAAGAGCGACTTTCTCTTCGAGCGTTAGCTCCTTGAGAAGTTCCTGGAAGGCCATACCGGATTTGTCCCGATGAGAGCGAGAGTGGCGGGACACTTTGTGTAATTCAGCAGAATTGCTCTGAGACGTGATCTAGTTGTGCATCTCTCACTGTCAGGCAATCCCATCAAGAACCGCCGGGACATCAATGTTTTGAAGTAAACAGCGACATCGCGGGTCTTACTCAACCATTATTGAAAAGCCATGAGCCACAGATTCTCCATCTGCCTAGTCACGATGCCGGTGACAGTAGCCCTTCGGATCTTGCGCCCACCTCCCCCCTACATTCGGGATTTCCGGGCTTGGGCAACCCTCCGAAAAAGGACGACCCGCGCACTGGAGCGGGGAGTGAGGGGGATACCTCCAGATTCCGAATCATGCAGAGGTGGGGGAACCCCTGAAGAATACCCCTTTCAGTAGCTCGAGCTTTTGTTTCGCGCTTGTTGAGGTGTTCCTCGCGGTGACATCGCGAACCACCGACTGCCTACACGGGAATCAGAGGGAGACTCATCTAGAAAGATATTGCCGTGAAATTCGTCCAATAATCGCTCGTAAGAGCTATCAATGCAGTACTACTCAGCTAACCTTCCCACACAAATCCCTGCTCCATGCCCTCCATCAACGGCCTCAGCGCCATGCCGTAGTCGCCCCCATTCGGCGTCCTCAATAACGTGTGGATGTGAAACTTGGCCGGCTCCTCGTTCGTCAGAAATACGCCAGAGTGATGATCAAATTCGACAATGATAACCGGACTCTGGATACGATAGTAAAAGGCGTCCTCGTTGCCGAAGCCCCCGATCCAGCAAAAGTACGTCTCGTGATACCAGGCCTTGACCTGCTCCATCCGCGCCAGTCGAGCCTGCTCTGGGAGGTAGAGGAGGTACTGGTCCATGATCTGGGACACGAGGTCCTGCTGCGCGGGCGCCATGTCGCCGACGAGGATGCCCTCGTACGGCACGACGCGGTTGTCGCGGTACGCCCCGCACAGATGGCGCTGGTCGTCGTGGTTCCAGCGCCCCTTGGGCATGGTCGGGTCCCTGAGAAGCTTGTACACCTGCGCCTCGGCCTGGCGTTCCGGCGATAGCCTCTGCATGAGGCGCAGGCCGAGGGCCTCCTCCTCGTGGAGGATCCGCGTCGCCGCGTGCGAGCCGTCGCCGTCGATGAGGTTCGGCTCGGCGCCTGTGAACCACGGCGAGACGATAATCTGAGTCCTGTAGAGGATGATGTTGAGGCACAGGTGGTGGCCGTAAAACGAGAAGCCCCAGGGCCGCGACGTCGAGGGCTGTCCGAAGAGGACAAAGTTGTACGAGAACTCGTTACACACGCGCGGCGCCTGCACGAGCTCGCCCAGGAACCCGTTGATGCGCATGGCGGCGACGGCCTTGGCGTAGCCTTCTGGCGACAGCGTCGTCTGGAGGACGCGCATGATGGCGTCCTTGATTTGAGGCGCATCGCCAAGTCTGTCAAGGCGCAGGCCCTTGTCGCTTAGGAGAAACTCGGGATTCGACCACGATCGCCATTCTGGAGAGTCAATGTGGTAGCTGACACGCGCACGCTGCTCTTCATCGAGCACGCCCAGCAGAGCGTCTGCTGAACTGACAATGTCCTCGATCGGGACACCTTCGTCTTGAATCTTGAATAGATCCGGGCGAATATTCCCTGGAGAAATCCAACATTAGCTATTGACATGGTCATCAACACTAAAAACTCAGGGGGATGGTCACCATCCGTTGTGATCCCCCGGTAAGGCTCCTGGAAGAGTTTCCGCCAGTGGACGTAGACCGCGTGCAGCCAGGGGGGGTTCTTATTGAGCTTGAAATCTTCAGCATATCCAGAGGCATCTTGCTTCCTCATGGCCGTAAACCGAGCGTTGTTCACATCTGGTAGGAATTGGCGGAACTCGCCATGCTCGGCTGCGTGGTTGGACCCCATTGTTCTGCTATTAGGGAGATGATGCTCAAATTTGGCTACTTCGGATCTCGTGATGTGAACTGAGAGACCAAACAGGTCAGGGGGCCGGGCTTTGAAGGATCGACTCATCTGAAGCCCTGTGTACCATTCCGACGATGGCATTGTGTCTGGGACTACTCCACTCGGACACAGCCCGATCGGTTCGCATGGCGTTGAGCTCCCCTGTGACAGCGATCCCAGAGGAGCATCCGGAAATCCCGAACCCTACCAAGACACCCGCACTCCGCCTGAGGGGACCCCGAGTCCTCGGTGCGAGGGTACACACTAGGGCTATCGGACCATGGATTGATGATCCATGGAAGGATGAAGACGAGAATGGTTCGATTGAAAAGGCTGTCGCGTGGCATTTCGAGTGACCTAGAAGCCACGAATCTCGAGCGCATCGACTTTCTCTCCAGTGGTTCACTTGGACTGCATCCCGATCTAGACCCTGCCATCATGTCTCCACCGTCATTTCAGCGTACGTAGCTGGCTAGTCCCTTCTGCGCTCCTTATCAGCTCACATGTGTGCTTCGTGCACCTGGCCGCTCCCGAAATCTGACACCCCTTCCAGGCCTTGTTCGCTTCATCCCAAAGTCCAACGCCTTGAAGGTCCTCATTGGTGAGCCTGAATCAGCCACCATTGATGTCGGTGTTGCGTTGCGCAAAGGTCAAGACGTGCCTGCGATCGTCTGGTCAGGTTCCTCCGTGCTCAGCCCTGGCACGAAGACGACGCAGCGCGAGGTGGTCGATATGGTTCTCTCGCCCGTTGCGCCTCACGAGGTCGGCACGATCCGATGCATTGGCCTGAATGTAAGTGAGCCCCGAGAGCAGTGAATGATCCCATCACCTGGGGAGTTGGCTTTTTGACAACCCCCACAGTATGTGCAGCACGCCAAAGAACTTGACGCACCGATTCCCACGGTCCCAACCGTTTTCTTGTAGGAGCCGAGCCGATCAACATGTCCTATAGATGAGGCTGTGTGTGCTGACACGGCTAGGAAACCAAGCACCTCGCTCGCCAGCCCCTGGCCCACGCCGACGGTGCTCCCGACCATCACACAGGCAGACGACACGGGCGACTACGAGTCCGAGCTCGCGGTCATCATCGGCCGCGCCTGCAAGAATGTGTCCGAGACCGAGGCCCTCGACTACGTTCTCGGTTACACGGCCTGCAACGATGTTTCCAGCCGCGCGAGCCAGTTCGCCCAGTCGCAGTGGTGCTACTCCAAAGGCTTTGACGGATCCTGTCCCATCGGCCCCGCGATCGTCTCCAAGGAGCTCATCCCGGATCCCGGAGCGCTGCATATCCGGGGTCTGAAGAACGGCGAGGTCATGCAAGAGTGCGGCACCGAGTACGTATATCGCCCTCTGGAAGCCACGTGCCAGCGAAGATAAACTGACTGATATTGGTACACAGTGACTTGATCTTCAGTGTCGCCAAACTGATCAGCTTCCTGTCGCAGGGCACCACGCTGCCTGCCGGCACGGTCATAATCACGGGTACGCCTGCTGGCGTCGGCGCGGGCCGCAAGCCCAAGGTGACCATCAGGCAGGACGATGAGTTTGCCGTCGAGATACTGCCTCACATTGGCACTCTGATCAACGTTTTTGAGAACGAGCAAGTGCAACGCTGAGATGGGGTTTGGTATTGTCGTGGGATAGCTCATCGTCTCAAGACGCGCTCGGCGCATCGAGGTCCGAGAACTGAAAGGCAAAATCCAGGTCCATGTCGCCGCCTAGAAGATCCAAGGGGCCCCAGTATTGGTTGAGGAGCATGGTTCCCTCAAAGTCGTAGGCTGCCTGGCTGGAAGTGAATGGCACAGAGCTTTGCGCCTTCTCCTTTGCCTGGCGCAGCAGTTTGGCGGCCTCCAGGGCTACGACGCACTCGTCCATGTTCTCGAGGATCTCGATTGCCATGCCGACACGCTCTAGTAGATACTGGTTATCGGTCTCTGACGAACGTGTAACGTGCACGAGTATGATGGAGGCGGCAAATACTGTGTATGTGGTATTGTAGAACCTTGAAGAGGCTGTCAGAGAGGATGAGGTGCAGATAGATCAAAGAAAGACCACATACCAGGTGCGGAAGAAGTCGTTGTGCTCGTGTGTTCGATATATAATTTCAATAGTTTTGGAGGCCGAATCGAGGTATTTCTCCGTGGCCTCATGTGCATCAGGGATCGATGCGCGCTCCGTCCCGGACGACTTGAGCAGCAGTGATCCAAACAAAAGAATCCGCATGTTATGGTACCCTAATCACAGTCAGATTACGTGCGCGGAATTCGCGAGCATGCAAAGATCCGTACGGATGGTTAGGACTAGCTTTTGCCGCTTCGCCCATTGAGGATCTCGCGCCGCCTTGAGAGTTGATGGCGGGCCAGCGGAAATGTTCGGTCGAATCTGCTCTGGAAGACTCTCAATCCATCGGTCAAGATCCTTCTCAATCTGGAAAGCAAGCGCAGTCGTCGATAGCACAGGCGAATCGGACAGATAGATGCCAAGACAGACTGTCCTCGTCAGTCGCGAAAAGTCAACCATGGATTTGATGATGGCGCAATGGGGAGGCTCGAGTAGCTCGGGTTGATTGGTGTCGGCGTCTGGTGAGCCCTGTATGAGAGGATACGGGCGGGTGTGATAGAGATCTGCTCCTAATGTATCCGGCCTGCCCATCGCGAAGGACAACTCACTGCGAATGTCAAAGTGGTGGCAGAGGAAAGGTGATAGTCATAACTTACGTTTCGAGGGAGTACAGCCCCCTGAGGCGAGCATAGCACATTAGTTCACGTTCAAAAACAAAATTATGGATCACATCGTAGCATCTAAAGACTTACCACCAGGTCCGGGATTCTGCTTTCAATCTCGCCGTATCTGTCCTTGCATTGGGCCCGGGGCCTCGGTTGATGCCCATGGCCAGCGCTGTCCTGACTGAAAGACCGACATACATATAGCACACTGAGGCCTTTAGTGCTCGAAATGGTCTGTGATCTGGGGAAAAACTGACAGTGAGGGCTGAGTTCGTTCTGGCAAACCTTGGCCTGCATCCAAAGTCAGCGCAAATGTCCTTCCGTAGCTCGAAACGTGTGACGCGGCTGTTACCAGAAAGAAATAGCACTGGACCATCTCGAGATCAGTGACCATGCCGAGTTGATTGCAATATGTTTTGGCCTGGTCGAAGAACTTCCTGCTCCACTGGAGATTGGTCAGACCCTCGAGAGGGTCGTCAGGACTGACCCCGACAAGGGCGCCGAGGGCAAGGACGCTGTAGCAGAGGGCGGCAAAGCTCGTGACGCGGGTGCCCTCGGCGCCGGTCCACAAGCGCTCACACCTCTGGAGGAAGAGTTGCCTGTCGAGTATGGGGTGAATGTAGTGGATGGCGGAGAAGTAGTTGTCCAGGAAGCCTCGGCTGTGACGGGAGTAGAGGAGTGGCTGGCTCAGCGTGCCTGCATCGACGCGTGCTGAGCTCGCGTCGGGAGAATGAAAGGACGGATTGTGAAGGCTCGTGACGAGAAGGGCGTGTGCGTCATCGGCGGTCGAGCTGTCCTGGCCGCCGTTGCGTTGAATGTGGGATAGAAGGGCGACAGAGGACGAAGTGCCGTAGAACTCGACGTTGCGCGTATGGCGATTGACGCCGGAAACTTCATGCTCGCCGGCCAGTCTCGTGGATGTGCTGCGCGGCGTTGGGATGACATCGTAGTCTGACGCTGCGTAGTTGTCGTGGGCGTTGGCTTCGTTCTCAGTCGCCATCTGCGATTCCGGCCATGTCGGATGCTGCTGCTGCTGCTGTTGGTCACCTGCCAGCGGCAAGGTCGAATCGCTGGGGTTTGTGGCCTCTGCAGCAGCGGCCGGGGGGTCTGGCCCTCGCCTTTTCTGAGACTCCTGAGAGTGAGACTCGAGGCGATTGGACAAGTTCTTCACATGATCCTCGAGCTGTCGTACGTAGCTGAAGATGGGGGCGATGCGTGAGCTGCAACTCAAAATTGGATGCCGTGCCACGCGATGATGGGCGACTCACTCGGGTGCATAGCGCCTGCTGGCAGCATCCTGGCCTTTGTAAATACACTCGAGCTTGCGATCTGGCCATGTCAGCTTTTCTGGTCAGGAGGGATATGGCAGGGGAAGAGACGAAAGGCGACCAACTTTTGCAGTAGGTGCATGGGTATAGCTCGTCGCATTTATTCTTCTTGGTTCGACAAGCATCGCATGCTCGCGCGGCCCTTGGTCGGCAAGCCTTGTGAACGGCTGCTCTGGTGACGCGCGCTTTGGGCACCTGGTCATCCATGGCGATCAATTAAGCAGCGTGGAGCGGCTGTCGAAAGGGCCTGTGGTGGTGATACAACGCAGGTGGATGCAGACTGGAGAAGCAAGGTCAGATGCGGGAAGTGTATCGACAAAGCCAAGGCTCTGATCATGCCTGGCGACTGCCCCAGGTCGTTATTACCGAGCTCCTGCTGGGTGGCTAGGGGGGCTGCAGCTGCCTACCCAGCAAGCTTAGGACCTTGAGTACCGACTTGGCAAGTGGGTAACAAATAAAGCAGGACTCCATTAACGCAAGTTACGCAAGCACTACCGAGATACAGTGGGGAGACAAAAAAAACGATGGATTGCCGTTATCTTCCGTTTTTACACTAAAATAGGTAGTTTTTCCAAAACCTATTCTACCTTGAATATATAAACTTTGTTACCTACTCTATACTATATTAATTTCTAGAGAATCTAGACCTAGTATATATCTAGATATATAGACTTAAAGCTAGATCTTTAGTATTTTTAAGCTTATAAGCTTTTAATAAATAGTTTATAAGTATAGGAGTTATAAGGAGTTAGAGTCTTATAACTACTCTAGTAGCTTAAATAAAAGCTAAACTATAACGATATATATATTATAAAATAGTGAAAAAATCGTAGCTATAGAACAGTATACTTCTTATAATATTCCATAGAGCCGTTCTATAGTAATAAGCGTTTAAGTTCTCTTATACCCTATTAGCTAAAGCTTAAAATCCTACTCCACTTCCCCCATAGGTCTAGAGGTGGTCCAAGCGCCTTGTCCACGCGTGGCCACTGAGGGTCAGTCTGTCATATATAGAGGGCACCCCCCGGACCTGATTGCCTGTCCACTGTGCCCGTAATAGTAGGCCACTAGCACATTCATGACGCTACATGTTCGCTCGCATACAATCCATCACTCTCTGGCTAATTCGGTCCTATACTTGTCTCTTTGGGGTTTCGGTATATATTACGAACATGTATATGCGGGTTATGTCATTTACACCTTGCCACTGCCCGAGCTCACGAGCTCGACCGGGACCAGTTATGACTCCCAGCTAGCGCGGTGAAAGAGCAGGTACGGCGAGACGGCATATGCGATACTGAACGTATTAGTGACTACCCCCTCAACACTTCTCGTCTCATGTACACACCTCAAAGTTGGCTTCGATACCATGAGAATCCTTCAGAACCGTAAAGACATTCAATAGCTCCCGAGGTCGACGCGGCTGCGAGTCGTTCTCGATCTTTTTGATGCCGCTGAAGTCTATGGTCAACCTGACGGGTGTTTTGGGGTCATCGAACGTCAACACTGGCATGATTCCGCGCTCCCAGTATTATATACAAGAGAGGTGTACCGGGGCAAGGACGCTGGGCTCATTTGTCGTAATTTTCCGGAGATTCTCAACACAGCACACAGACTCGTTAGGGTATTCGGGTTCAGATGTTTTGAGATCATGACAGCAAATTCACGGGGCAAGCGGGCTTCAAGCCAGTCAAGCCCTATGAGAACAGCCGCACATTTCATCAGTTGCTGGTTGTTGCGGCCTTGTGATAGGAGAAGAGGCGGACAGCCCTGCCACGGATACATCCCGGTTTCCAAAAACGGCAGATCTTTTAACGGGGCTCTCTGGGTTCTGCCGGCTCTGCTGTAGCCGAATACAAGTTCCAGCAATCCACATGTACTGTAGCGACATCCAGCTTGCATTTGTTGCAGGATCGAAAGCGGCCAAAGGACAGCTTTCCGTACGAACTTTTATGCCCCCATCACCCACATTGTGCTACTGTAAAGTCCTGCTCGTCGATGACCTCAAATCGACGATAAGACACGTAATGCCGACCTAGCAAGGAATCAGTACCTAGTCAAGATAGAGGTGGAAAAAAGTGAGCTGAACATACAAATAACAGAAGCTATACGATCCGCAACCTCGAAAACGTGTCCGCAAGCTCCACACTGTGGATGAATACGGATATGTTCCACTGGTTCGTCTACCTCTGCCATGGTAGAGTGATGGTGAGTGTGAAGTCTCTGCGCTATTCCGAGTAGTGACCTAGTGGGCTTGCCTATTCAGGTGACCATATACCACGTACCTACTTAGGCTTCACTTCTTCACGCCTTTCAGCTTGGTACTGCTTGACCCTGCAGAATGCTTCGCTGGTAAAGTACCTACGGACCGAGCATGGTGGGCGACTAGATGGACATACCTAACTTTCCTCGCGACCACCACATCAGAGCAAAAGTGCAACCACCACCTACCGTATCGCCAACGCACCCGCAAGCCGGTATCGACGCTCCCGAGCTACCCCTGCGGATCCCGCTTGCCCGATACACGGGCACATTCCCCAGGCTCACAACTCGACCATACCCCAAGCTCGAAACCTATCCTCACGAAATGCCCGCCTACGAGCCGCCCATGATCAGCCACGAGAGGAGGACGCTCTGGGTACGGAAGGCCAAACCCGGCTTCCAAGATAGCGAGAAGCTGTACCAAAAGTACTGGTACGACTACAATACCGTCACCATTCCCCTCCGAGGCATGGATGACTTCTTCGCCGACGCCATCACCGCCGCCTCACTCGCCCAAGACCGCGATCATCTTGAGACGCTTCTTGCCGACCAACGCGAGGCCCGCTGGAAGGAGTTGAAAGAAGCCACCCGCGACATCGCCCTGGCGACTATTTATCGCACTCAAAACTGGCCCTCGCGAGTCGTCAACAATGCAGCCCTTGATGCCGTTCGAACCGGCAGCTTAGGCAGCTTCCTACAGTTCATTTCTTGTGCCATGACCAGCTGGAAAGATACGCATTTGCGTAACAAGACCGACGAGACCAACGACAAGGCCCAGACCAGTCCCCAGAAGGAAAGTCCTGCCGGCAATATTAATGGAAATGATCATGTTCCCGGCCAAGACGACAACGAAGATTATGAGACCGATTTTGAAGACGAGTATGCGTACGACAATAACCGCATGTCCCCAACCGACTCCATCGCCAAAATGTTCGGTCAACAAGACGATGCCTGGACCGCCCGCGCTAAGGCAGATAGAGCGTTTATGGTTGAGGAAGTGGACGGGACATCGCCAGCACGACAATTGGGGCAAGCCTCACCAGCAGGTACTGCACCGGTGAACGAAGTAGAAAGCCACGAGAACACAAGTGTTGCGGAGCAACTATCTGACGCGTTCCAGAAGAACAATGCGCCAGCGTTGAGTACATGGCCACAAGCAGCGCCGACGGGCGGCACTTCGCCGAGAGATACCTCCGACAGCGCAACCTCGGGCCCATCATGTACCAAGACCACTCCACCACAAACATCACCTAACATCTTCAACGCCGAAGCAGCCGATGAAACGCGACGATCTACAGAGGCAATATTGCCTCCTGATGACGGAGCACAACCCGGCGGCCATGCAAGAAGAAACAGCTCTGCGGCAGGCTCTGTTTCGGCCAGGAAATGATCACTACCCAAGGATGATGCTGTCAATGGCGAGGGCAACGAATTCAAGCGTCGAAAGCCTGATGAGTAAGAGAAGGCAGGCTAAATAGGACTGTTGCAATCGCCGGGACAGCCCTGCCCAACTGATGTCCAGATCACATGTGAGATGGCCGATCCAGACAATCTGACTTCGACTAAAACAAAAGCTCAGCCCTGTAATGCCCACTTGAGCTTGAGTGGTTTCATACGAGACATCCGTTGGCAGTTTTGTCTACAGAGCCTCATTTATGGTACTCTTCTCCCTATCAACTACGCCTTGAAGCTGATGAATTATATCACACCAGCCCTGGCCACTGGCCAGGCTTTCAAGCTGCGCATGGCTCCTCTGCCTTGACTTAGCGGTCGGTTGGCCAGTACAACGTGGCAGGGTTAGGCACCAACACCACTGTATGTAAGGTCCCAGCTGCAACCATGACAAGCAGCAGACCAGAGATGATCACACTTTGCTCACCCTGCTCCACCCTGAGCTCAGGTCAAAGCAGCAACAGGTCGGCTCCGTCGTGGAGGATGACTATAGAGGGAGCTGCCCAGAGAGTGCTGATGGGGATCGGTCCCTGAAGTGCAGGGTGCACGAGGGGTGCAAGAACACGAGGCAGTACCGCACGGTGCTCAGTTCATCATGATCATAGTTCACATCAAAAAGACACAGAACACAGGGTCACTTTGATTGGCATATCATAGTATGTACAGTTGGCCCGTTTACACTCGCTATCTCAGCCTAGCAATTTTGACACCTCCTCCAGCAAATGCTCAACAATGGCATCCGGTCCCCTCTCCACCTGCAAGCCCTGAGGAATGGCGTGTGTCTTAATCTCGGGCACGATCTCTCTCGCAATCTTCTGTATCTCGGCAGCTTCCTCGGCCGACCACATGGATGCTGAGAACTGATAGGCCGTTAGTGCTAGCTTTCAGCGGCAGTCTGTGTGCTTCCTGGGCTTCGCCCGGGAACCGAGGAAACCTTACGAGGACGTCTGGCTTGAACTCCTTGACCTTGCCCTCTACTTCGGCAATGCCTTGTGTTGCTGTCAGCCCGGGTCCTCTCGCTATTCATGTCCGCTGGACATCTTCTTGAACTCACTCCCGCAATTGGCGACATAATCTATCGTGTACTCATCGCGGAGGGCCTCGGTCATCCTTCCAATGAGCCTCTTTGCCCGCTCAGGCGCCGTGTTGACCGTCACCAACCGGAAAGGACCTTTAGGAGGCATTGATGTGTCTTTTGAGTGCTTAAAGGATACAATGCGTTGCTCAAATTGACCGAGACTGTGGCTGCAGGACACCTGTATTCATTGTCCAACCTCGACAATCCAGCAGCCAACTTCAACTTACACTCAGTTTACATTTGGATATTCTCCAGCCAATTCTAGACCATCGAATTGGGGGCTGCGGGGAAGCTGCAACCGCCCCCTATTCGCGGCATTGCCGGGCTTCCCGGATCTGCCGGTCCCCATTGAGCGGCAAAGCCGAGCCAGCTTCCTGGCCCAACTTGGAGCGGATTGTTAGAAACGTACCGAACTGCTGAACTTGGTTTTCTGAGAGACAGGCTTTCCCGGAAAGATAACCGCCCCAGCCGGGACCACATGATGGGTTTGAGCCCAACATGGGGTGCTTATTGATATTTCTCCGTCCATCTGGGCAGCCATTCTTGGATGGGGTGAGGCTGGTTACTGCTCCAGCGCATGCAAGCTTCCCCAGTCATCCACAATTGTGCCAGCACATACCGACGTAACATTGGAAAATGGCATGTTCTCATGGCTCGAGAACGTCTCAGGAGTCTTGACTGACGGTTTGTAGGCCCCTATTCTTCCACAGTCGCCCGTGCAGCTCGATGTTATCGTCGTCGGGGCTGGTTTGGCTGGTCTCGCCACGGCGATTTCCATCAGTCTGTCTGGCCATAAGGTCACAGTTTTCGAGTCTACCCAGGAGCTTCTCGAGGTATACCTACCACTGACGGCCGAGATGGCAAAAGACAAACTAATAGAATCACCCCAGATCGGCGCAGGACTGCAACTGACACCAAATTGCACACGGATCCTCCAACAATGGCAGATGCCCGACAAACTATGGGAATCTGCAGCCGAGCCCACGTCCCTGTTCGTCCACAGGTATTCCGGCAAGGTTCTCGCCATGGAGTCTGATTTTGACAAGAACATACGCCGCAAATACGACGCTCCGTTCCTCGACATGCACCGCGTCGACCTCCAGCTAGCGCTATTCGAGCGCGCCAAGGCCCTCGGTGTCCGGTTCGAGATGGGTCAGAAGGTGGACGATATTGACTTCAACCTTGCTCAAGTCACTAGCAAGTCGGGCCTGGAAGCCAAAGCGGATCTTATCGTTGCCGCTGACGGCCTCTGGTCTCGCAGCCGCACCCTCTTTACAAAAAAGGGCGACCTGCCGAGGCCAACGGGTGACTTGGCGTACCGCGTTGTCCTCGATCTTGAGCAGGTTACCGATCCCGAGCTCCGTCTATGGATCTCAAATCCGGCCGTGCACTTCTGGATCGGCCCCGGAGCCCATGCCGTAGGCTATTCGGTGCGCGCCGGCCGCATGTACAACATTGTGCTGCTGGTCCCGGACGATCTGCCCCTCGGCGTCAGCCGTCAAGCGGGATCCGTAGAAGAGATGCGGGCTCTTTTCGGCGACTGGGACCCCGTGCTGGGACGATTCCTGGGAATGGTCGACACTGTTGAAAAGTGGAAGCTCATACACAGTAATGCAGCCTGCCTTCAGACCCCTTCTACAGTTTTGCTAACTTCATCGGTCTTCAGTCGAGGAGCTGCCCGAATGGGTCAACGAGAAGTCCAACATGGTTTTCGTGTAAGTCGGTTGGTCCCATTATCTGCCTTCGACTTATGCTGACCCCTTTCGAGCGGCGATGCGTGCCACCCCATGCTTCCATATCTTGCTCAGGGCGCCAACTCTGCCATCGAGGACGCGGCCGTCCTTGGATTACTTCTCGGACACATTGAATCGAAAGACCAAGTAGCCCAGGCACTGCAATTGTACCAAAAGCTCCGGAAATCAAGAGGTGACGCCATCGTCAGAGAGACCTTCAAACAAGTACGTCCCGCCCTCTGCGTCGAGAAAGCCTTATCCCAGCTGTTCAGTGCTTACAGATAGGCAGCGAGAATCCTTCCACATGCCAGACGGTCCCGCACAGGAAGCGCGAGACGAGCTGTTCCTGTCGCAGCTCGGCAAGCCTCTGCAGGGGCCTTTTCCCAGCCGGTGGACCTGTCCGCAGGTGCAGCCATGGCTGTACGGCTACGACGCGTTTGCCGAGGTGCGGAAAGCGGTGAAAGAGAAGCCATTTGCGAAGGAGGCGCAGACTCCGCTGCCCGTTCCGGGCCCGAAGCTCTCTCGTCCTGTGGGAGTGAAGCGCAGCGGGTTTTGGTCTACCCTGAGGCGATGGATAGCAGCGTAATGCGCTTGCGTCGTCTCACAGCCGGAGGAAGCAGAACACGTTGGACACATGATAAATTAGTGTGAGATGGATAACACACTACAAGAAGCTTGGTTGAAGTGCCGGACGCGACTTTAGCAATGATGATTACAATGCTAGCACATTAACAAGGAATGAGATTGCCAGAGCGTGGGTTTGAGCAGAGTGAAGTGGTCTTCCGCACTAGGTCCGCAGGCAATAGATAACAGGTATTGAGGTAAACCACATCTGAATTCTAGCCTTTCGCAACCCTTATACGCGTTCTCGTAGTCCCTAGGCTCCAGCAAGCCCCAGCTCCGTGAAGGCCTCCTGACAGAGACTCGAGCCTGTAGAAATGGTGATGTACCATCATAGTCGTCTCTTGAGCGCTCTACTACGTGACGCAGTAGACAAGTTGTCACAGAAACCTCTGGTATTTGGGTCGAACTTTCTATTCATCATCCCACCAAAGCTTCAAGATGATGGGTTTGGCTGAGACCCGCGGAGCCCGAATCATCTGTCAACTCCAGCAGATCTCTCGAACACATCGCAATTGTTGCCTTGAAAACTTATGCAATATAATCGCAGCTACATCGCACAGCGCTAAGCAAAGAACTCAATTCCTGTCTCGCCCGACGCCTTGAGCAATACTAGCCTCCTACCAAGATCCCTCACAGCAAACCTACCGACTAAGCCACAATCTCGTCAGCATCAAGCTGATACTTCTCAAAGCGCCTAGCCGAGACGCGCTTCTCAAACATGGTGTCTAGCTGGGCATAAGTGCGCCCCTTGGTGCCAGAAACGTCAAAGTACGTAATGGCCAAGTAGATCGCTCCCATGGCGAAGAAAATCCATCCAATGTTGCCACCGAGGTTGGCCTGGTCCTGGTTGAAGAGGCACGGGAGGATGATCTGCCAGAGGACGCTGCAGATCGCAGAAAAGCCCTCACCCAGGCCCATGGACTTGGAGCGCAGTCTTGTGGCAGATGTCTCGCCGGCGACAGCCGTTGACGCGCCGACAGCAGGGCCGTACGAGATGGACGTGATGAGGAGCGCAATGCCAATGATCTTGAGGTTCCTGGGCGATCGCTCCATGGTGCCAAAGATGCCCATGGTCAGATACATGAGGACACAGAAGCTGACACCGGCAAAGATGAGAGGCCTGTGACGGAGGCGCATCATGAAGAAGACGTTGACAAGGGCAGAGACGACGCCGAGACTGATACGGATCTGTACAAGCATGACCACCGTGTGGCTGTCAAGGCCGGTCTGGTTGAGGAAGTAGGGCGCGTTGGCGGACAGAGAGGCGCCGAAAATCTGCGGCATGTACATGCAGATCAGAATGATGCGGGTGCGTCTGAGGTTGGTGCCGCGGAAGCAGTCGATCAGCGAAGCCTTCTCCGCAGACAGGGCGCGCTCCGCTTCGACTGTGCACTGGATCTGCACGAGTGCGGCTTCGACGTTTGATCCCGCGGGCGAGAGCTTCTGGAGAGCACGGCGGGCTTCTTGCTGCTTGCCCTTCATGACGAGCCAGTACGGCGACTCGGGCACGAAGGGAAGACCAAGGAGTAAGAGGCCGGGGAAGACCCAGGCCGCGGCGAAGACGACCCTGAATGTAGACGGATCCATGATGGAAAGACGGCTGAAGGTTGCAGAAATAGCCATGAGCAGGCCGAGGTTCTACACATATCAGGGTTAGTATTCTGTTGATCTCCTAGAACTCGACATATCTAATGAGAACAGGATTTTTAACTTACAAGCATGATGGTGTTTGCCGAAAGAGCAATACCGCGCATGGGCAAAGGAGCTATCTCAGAGACGTACGTCTGAGTACCAGCGAGCACGAGACCGACGGCGAAACCCGTGACTATTTTGCCGCCGAGAAGTACTGCCGGTGTCTCCGCAACGTAGTTGATCGCAGTACCCGTTACGGAGCAGATGATGGCCGCTAGGAAGACGGAGCGGCGTCCGAACCAGTCCTGCAGGAAACCAGCAACCACAGATCCAAGCATGCTCATGACGTTATAGGTAGCGTTCCAGGCAGACTGCCAGTGCGCGTGATGAGTATTCCGTTGACTTCAGAAGCAAACGTCATTCTGTAAACGAAGACGAAGTATCAGCATCCCAGGTCGGGCTGTGCACCGCGTCAGAAACAAGACTTACTGGAAGGCCGGCATGGCGAGACAGACAGACAGAGCGACGTTCTCATAACCCACCATGGCAGACCCAACTACAACACATGTCAGATGGAACCTAGAACACCCAGAGCACACAGAAAACGGATTGGAAGAACGTACTATTGGCGTACAATGTCAGAAGAGCAATCTCGGGATTCTGCTGCATGCAGTCCCAGGGGCTCATCCTCTGCTTAGCGGACAGAACAGAAACCTCTGCATGGGAAACATTGGCTTTGTCCACTCCGATGACGAAGTTGTCGTCATAGTCTTTGACATTTCCTGTCTGTTTTTGAGTCATATTGAAGTTACCTGCGGATATGGGTATTGCCGTCAACGAGATCGGCCAAGCAGCACTACCAGGATTAGTGCTAAGGAAGAGTGTTGACTGGGAGGGTTGAGGGGAGGAGTCTGGCAAGCTGATACTCTAACATTATGAAAGGCGACGAGAATGAAGTCATTAATATAAGGTTGCACTGCATTAAAAGTCCAACACTGAAACCTGCCAGCCATCAAAATCTGGGGAAGCCAAGGTTACCGGCTCTGCCCATGGCGAGCGCAACATCCCGTCTGGATATCCCGGCGTGGAGCAAACCCCATGGGGAACACGATTTCTGGACCAGCCCCAGGTTATGCCACGCGGTCTTTTACACGACTCGGAGATTTTATGAATCCCCGTTACGCTCCCGGCCTTGAACCTGACGTTCGGGGCAAAGCATCGCGACAAGAACAGCGATACGCCACCATGGCCCCTGGAGACGTCGGAGATCTGAGGGCGCATAATGTGGAAGTCACAGGTTCAGCAGTCGCATTGAACTGAACAGCAAGAGTTGTTATTGGCATGTGGATTTCTCAAATCTAGACGTTTGAATACATCAGAGATCATATTAGATTCTGTAGGAAGTCGAACCCTCTTCGCTGTAAATCCCATGTTCGAGAACCAACTTGCATCTTTGCTGCGAATGTGTGTTCCTCGCCAGGGATCTCGCACATTCCAGACTTGATCCCATGTTGCTCCAGTGCTCGGAGAAGGTCCCTACTCAAACCAATCGGTACCATGGTGTCCGCCGCCCCATGGGCGATGTAGGTCGGAGGGAAGTTTTGGTTGATGTTCAGCAGAGGGTCAACCGATTTCCAATCCTTCGAAGGGTAAATGGCGCCGAGCACATTACCACTGGCAATTTGTGTCATTGCAAAAGCTGGACGTGGGTCGCTGAAATCAGGAGGTCCTTGGGCTTGGCCTTCGAGCGAAACACCCCCGACAATGGGGACAGGCCGCTCATCGTAGACTTTGTTCATGAAGTCTTCCGTCAGGTCCTTTGGGGGCTTTGCAGCCACATGAGGAAGCTTCGACGTCCAAAAGGGATCTGAAAAGTTGCAAGGACCATACATGTCGAATATGCCAGCCACTGGGCGGGGTACCCCGAAACCCTTCGAATGAGAGGTTAATCATGGAAGAGTTTGTATGGAAACGAGTGGACTCACGAGAGCAAGAGCCAAGGTACCCCCTGACGACGTTCCAAAGGAAAATACGTGATCTAGATCGAGGAACCTAACATCGCTGGTTTGCTCTGAGATGGCTCGATCAAGCCCCCCGTCATAGACCCAGGCTAACAGGTCTCGACAGTCACGCATCGGTCCGTCAAGAAGATTGACTTGTGGACATAAGCGGTGGTTTGGAGCTAGGACGATCCAGCCTCGGTTCAAGCAGTCTTGAACTTGATCAAGATTCACCATGCGGGAAGACCCAAGCATGAACGCGCCCCCATGAATATTGATGACTACGCTCGGTTAGACTGGAAACAGGCTAATCTGCAGGTCTCTCAAGAGCATTACGTATTGGACATTTGGTCTGTGGCGCAATTTCATTATTTGGCTGGGGCAGGTACACATCTACGTCGATTTCCTGCGAGTCCTCGATTTTGTAGACTGCCCTGAAGCTGCTCGGTTTGGCCATGGTGTTGTTGCTCGGCATTTCGTCGTCTGTGTTGTCAGTGATAAAAAGACTTAGTGAGAGAAGGCAACAATTATGTGAGACTTGCGACCGTGAAGCTGGGTTCGAGTGTATACCTAGGTAGTTTCCATTTGCTTGCATGCCCCAAAGCTCGGGTCAAACAATGAGCGACGTCAAGCGGAAGATCCGATACCCGAGACTCGGCATTCCCGGGCCCTACATGCAGAGCCAGAGATCTGGCTCCGATGTGGGGATGCCGTATGGGGCTCTCCACAGATCGAGTTGGGGTCCCGGATGAGGGATGTGCCCTCGATGGTATCTCAAAACCGATGGCGGATGTCACCCAGGTTTGAACAGAAAGCCTTGTTCCTCTGACCTCGCCAGACTCAAATTCCTTGTCAAAAGCTCAGACCTAAGGGACCTGACACCCTATTTCAATCCATACCAAATCAAATTACCAGTACTTACACCAGGACTTACCCATCCCATCCCAATGAGTGTTTCCGTTCACGCTGTGCCTCCCGAGGCCCGGACGAGCTACATAATCGACCAACTGGAGGGTGAGAGGCTCACTATTCCCGGTAGTAGAGGTGTTTTCCGTATATTGGCCTCCTCGAAGCAGACAAATGGCGGAATAGCTGTCTTCTCCAGTGGCGCCGTGTTGTCCGACGCGCCTGGCTTCCACTGGCACGAAGAGGCACACGACATTTTCATGGTGACCAAGGGATCCCTTAAATTATGGAACGGAGACAAGTGCCGCATCATGGGGCCTGGCGACTTTGCCTATGTTCCTCCTGTGAGTTGCAGGAGCTGTGCCTGAGCCACGCCTCGGCCCTTTCGTACTGGTTCCTCCGGCTGATCCCTTCACAGAAAGTCATCCACAACCCCGAGATGCTGGGGCCTCACACGGAACTATATGGACTCGTGGCTCCCGGCGACTGGATCGACTTCTTCCGCTTTGTGGCCGAGTCCTACGACGGTGTCCTCGTGCCCGAGAATGACAATCGCAACCTAGGTGCTCTCCTCGGCCAGAAGATGGCGACAGCGAAAGATCGCTTCGATGTCCACTTCGAGAGAAACTACCAACCGCCCGCACTGGGAGACTGGCAAGAGACGGAGAACGTCCTGCCATCCGCTGGCGAGCCGTACTTCCTTCGAGCAAACACCGGCCCGAGGTGGATGCTGGGAGGCGTCATGTCTAGGCCGTTCATTCACGCTTCACAGTGCGGCGGCAAATTTGCCGTCTCCAGCATCGAGTCGTCAAAGGTGTACGAGGCCGCGCCACTGCGGCAATGGCTGACCTTCGCGACAGTGGACCACTGCTTTTGTGTCCTGGAAGGCGTGCTGAGGGTGCAGACGAAAGCAGGAGGCACGGCGTGGAGCGAGGTCAGAGAGGGCCAGACGCTGGTGGTTTCGGCTGGCGAGTCTTTCCAACTTGAGTTTGGCACGCGGTTTGTGAGAGCGTGGTCGTTTACGAACGGGCAAGGACTGGAGGAGTTGATTCGCCAAGCTGGCGCACCGTATTCGGGGTTCGTACTGCCAGATTCTCAACCGTCGTGGGATCAGGGTCGCCTCCTGGAAGCCTGCAACGCACTACATGTTACAGTTGAGGAAAGATAACCCGAGGTAGCGATATAACCACATAGTAAGGTATCTAGGAGGGATGGTAGAACAGATAGATTCGTATCCACTGAATGAATATCTTTTGGAACGCTCGTCAGGATTTGGCGTCATGTTGTGATATACTTTGGAAGAGATGTGAAAAGTCTCTTCGTCAGCATTCTAAATCATCCTCAATGAGCAAGTACACGCTGTAGCTGCCCCATGTTGTCGCCCATGTTGTCGCCGCCAGAATCTCCCCTCACCCAAGACAATCCTCGACCTTCCACGCGCGCGTCAATGTGCGCCCATAGTGTACGGCGCTCTGGCTCCTCACACTACCGTCGGCAATGGCAATCACAATGAAACAGCCGACACGGACTGGCCATCAGAAGCAATGAGCGCGTCGAGTTCTGTGGTCGCAAATGGACCAGCCGAGCTAGAGATATCGTCAGTACCCGTCAAAGTCGGTACTCGGTTCTCTACCAGGGCCCTTCGCGTCTTGAGGTACTGGTTTGCAGCACACGAGGACCATCCTTATCCCCGTACTGGAGACATGGAGTCATTGCAAACCCAGACTGGGCTCAACAAGCTGCAGGTTTCTACATGGCTTGCGAACACTCGCCGGCGGACCAAGTCCAGGGTTCCCGTACGGCCTACATCACCAAGCGTTCTATCGACACCAAACCTCGAGGCCATGGCTATCCCCACCTCGCGGCCGTCTAAGCTAGTAGATCAGATGGACCCCTTGGGAAGGTGGCAGAACTCACCCCCGGAAGACGAGGCTGCGGATGCGACAGCCATCTTGAAGGCTATATCTGGATATCCTGATGCCTCAGCGCAGCCGGGCCATCCAGTTCCAGTGAGGGCGCAGCCTTCAGTCTGGGGAGAGTGGTCGTCTGCGAGCAGTGCTGGAACGTCTCAATCTAGCAACAGTTCTGGCGGCTCTGCGTACTCACACGGATCTGCCTCTTCACGCGCACAGTCGCGCGACCTGGCCAGATACACGGAACACGCGAGGCGACGAAATCGACGTGCCACCCAGTCGGCAACAACACGTGCAAAGCTCTCGCAGCTACCGCGCAAGTTTCAATGCACGTTCTGTACGGAGTCTTCTGCCCAGAAACATGGTTGGCAGCGGCACGAGAAAACTATGCACCTCTCTCTGGAGAGATGGGAGTGCTCACCAGAGGAGCCGTACACGCGAGATGACGACGGCCATCAGGCGTGTGTATATTGTTCTCAACCGGAGCCCGACGAGGGTCACATGCAGACGCATAGTTTTGAAGTGTGCATGGACCGGCTACCTGAAGAGAGGTCCTTCTACCGCAAAGACCACCTCATACAGCACCTCAAGGCGGTTCATCACGTCAAGTTTGACCCCACACTCATGGAACACTGGAAACAAACAATACAAAACATCAAGTCATCCTGTGGCTTTTGTGGCCTACTGATGACATCCTGGATGGAGCGTGCCGACCATTTGGCCGATCATTTCAAATCCGGCGCAACCATGGCCCAGTGGCTTGGTGACTGGGGATTCGATGATGACGTGGTCCAGATGGTCCAGAATTCAATACCGCCTTGCAGGTCTTCCCCATTTATCTCCTTGTCTTTTGGGAAACCTCTCCTACATGGACTCTAATTCTGCTCCACTAGATCTGATCGAGTTTGAACGCACGTCGCCGTGGCCGTTCACGACGGACAGAGGCCCTCCAGCAACGCCAGCAAACGCGTTTGAGCTCATCAAAATTGAGCTGGACTATTTTGCTTCATGTCTCGACGAAAAGAATCTGCCCCCGTCTCAAGAGGTTTTGCAGTACGAGAGCTGCTGCGTTATCGTCGGTTCCGAAATGCTATCGCCATCTCAAGATGCTCTGAACACACCGCGGTCCTGGTTGCGAGACCTCTTAATGTCCGATGAGCATGTCGCACGACGGGCTCGTAATACACCTCTGGCAAGCGTTGTAAAGAATCGGGCGACAGAGTTGAGAATCAACAGCAAGGCGGACATTTTCGACTCTTGCAGCCTGGAAGAGCAACTCCAATTATTCATGGCACAGAATCGTGGCTACGAATCGCCAGTCGATGATGCTGACCTGCAGCGTGGGGCGTGCCAAGTCGTACGGGACGCAGACGCGCAGTCGAGACAGCCTTCTGAGTTGTTCGTGTCCTTCTTGACAGGCCTCATCAATCATTCTCCTCACTGGATGGCGCCGTTTCGGCAACGATCTGAAGCAAACGCGTTACGAGCCAGTCGTGGTATCCACCTCGGAGAACTTGGGTTTCATGCGCCACACCATCGTGAGCTTCAATACCAGATAGATCAAAGCGGCAACGCGACTCTTGGTACGCTTACAGAGCCTGTATTTGGCTTGGACGAGCCGATCGACCAGGAACTTTCAAGACAAGAGCTACCAGCGGAATTGCCAGGTCCACAGAGGTTCACTTTCCTCTCTACCGACACATACTACTGGGGCCTGAGACGTGAGCTGTCGAGATTCGTGGCCATGTCTATTTCACCTAGAAACCCTGGTTGTCACATCCCGACGGATGAAGAGCTCCAGAATCAAGCCCGGGGGATTATGTTTGACAGGTACGAGTTGATCATCTGGCGCCGCCAGTGACGACCAAGCAGGACTGAAAGTAACTAACGGTGATGGCACACAGCGATGATACATGGAATCAGAATCCTGCTGATAATGCAGAGTGGCTCCTGCATTTCAAAGGAAACAATGGCTTGGCTTCCGGGGACGAGGCCAGCAATGGATGATGCCTATGATCTCTCAAGACAAATCCACCCCTAAATATCGAGGGAGGTGCTGAGCCGATTGCTTTCCACGCCAACTATCTCCACCACACGGAGGGTTTCATGAGCGTGCGGTTCTTCGGCGCCGTCTATTGGTCCTTCTCGTCACTACGCTTCTTGACTATGCAGCCAATCTGCTGGGCCACATGGCTCTGAAGCTTCCCGAAGCCGCTCGCAACCCCTTCTCTGTCTCCCTTCCCCATCTCCTGACTCATCTTGAACTTGCCCTCCAACCGGTCAATGTCAATCTCGATGCCGATGATGCTCTTCCTCAACAGCTCAATGTACTTGTCGGGAGCATCTGTGACCTTCCAGTCCGTCGGGTGCTCGCCGCCGACGTATCCCATGATGCTCGTCTCGGAATGGCGAGTGAGGTCGGTTATTTGCTTCTGGAGAAACGCAGAGGTCTCGTCAGACTTGGAGTCGAAGTAGATGCGAGCGCGGCCGTAGACCTGGGCGGCGGCGTAGTTCCACGTCGGCACGACCTTGCCCGTGGCAGGCTTCGTTTCAGTGTAGAACTTGGGCGTGACATAATGGTGCTGCGCCGTGAAGATGACAAGGACATCTTGTTCTAACACGCCCCCTTTCTCGGGGTGGGACGACAATTCTTCAATCATGGCCTTGCTGTGGGGGTTCATTCTGGCGAGATGGCCACGAAGACGGCCAGTCTCTGTCTCGCTCGATTCGTCGTCGACGTCGATGACGAACGGAATGTGACTGGACTGAAGAAACGGGTGCTCCTTGGACTGGATCGCAGTGGTCAACAGTCCGAGGGGGTTGTCTCGGATCAGCTGCCTCAGAACCACGAGGCTTGATTCTGCATGGACTGCTCGAATATACATGATGTTTTTGCTTGGGGTTCGGGTGTGAGGAGATCTGATGATACCTTGGAAGGGAAGGCCTGTTTTGAAGGATTTTTCCAAGCCTTAAGTACCCTCTCTACCCTACATGTCATGCTGGGATGGATGACTCCTTGGCTCCGGCAGCCATCGGCGGACGGTCGAACACCACGCGGAGAGGGAGCAAAGGCGGACCCGCTCTGGCCCGACAATTCGGCCCACTCAGGGAAGTTGGATTACCAGCAGGGCGCGCCCTGTCGAATTCCAGCGTCATGGCTGTTGGTATCGGCCAGCTGGCTTCAACGGTTGACGTTATTCAAGACTTCACTTACTTCCACGATAGCCTCAACTTTCGGCACTCTCAGCCTCTCTCCTCTTCTTTCCTCCGCCCTCAGCAATAAACATCTTCACTCTCGACACACAACATGTCTTCCGCCACCACAACGCCCGCCCCAGCCCTTCGCCGGGCCACCTTGCAGGACGCCGAGGCGGTGTCGGCGCTGGGGTCCTCCGTGTTCAGCGCCACATTCGGCCACTCAGTCACGCCGCAGCAGCTCCAAGCCTACCTAGACGAGTCGTACAGCGTCGCGGCGACGGCGCGGGACATTGAAGACACACAAAAAGACATGACAGTGGCCGTGGCGGCGGACGGCGACGGCACGACGATCATCGGCTTCGTCCTCCTGACGCGCGGCGGCAGCGAGCCGTGCGTCGACGACGTGGCGTCCAAGATTGAGCTGCAGCGCATCTACGTCTCGGCGGCGCACCACGGCCAGGGCGTCGGCAAGCTGCTGATCCACGAGGCGCAGAGGCAGGCGCGGGAGCAAGGGTTTGAGCACATGTGGCTCGGGGTCTGGGAGGAGAACCACAAGGCTGCGCAGATGTATGCCAAGCTCGGGTTCAGCGTGGTTGGCGAGCATGAGTTTGATGTTGGGGGAGATATCCAGACGGATCGCATCATGCTGAAGAAGTTGTGAGGACACGATTGATGCTGGAGGAGAGAAACTGCGTGGCCTGTCATAGAGTTTAGATTTGGGATAGAGGTAATGGCGATAGATAAATAAAGATGATTCTGTCTGGCGTTTTTCTTCTGTCGCAGGTGAGCACAGTGCTCGTGTGCCAGACACAACAACTGTCATCCTCTGTAGCAAAAACACACCGCGTCGAAAGGTACAGGAGACGGCCTTCGGACGCTATCGACGACGAACACATCTGTCTGCAGACCGTGACGGAAATTCCTAATTCGGCATCAAGTGCACCTCTAGCTCCATCATGTCAATCGCACCTTAGGATCGACCCATTTTTCTCTGGATGGCCGGGCCTGGCACCAAGGCGCAGGCCAATCCCAGGTGCGAATTCGCCGAGCGGCCTCATTGAGAACGGCTTTATTGGGACATGTCTTTCAGGGTCCGGGGCTTTCGCACAGGGAGCGCAAGGCGTTCGACTGGAGTCTAGGCCTCATGTTCGGTGTTGGAGGCCTGGGAGGTGTCTGCGGCCTCCCCTAGGTACAGGGGAGAGACAAAAGAAACGACGGGTTACCGTTATGAGATGTACTTATTTAATGTTTCAAATGCTATTATAAGATGAATAAAATAGATATCAGTAATCTAAATAACGGAAGCTATAGATTTAGTAAAGTTCTATTAGTGTTAGTAAGATTATTATTTATAGTAATCTATAGAAGAAGCAATAGAGGTTAGAAAACTATGTGCTTTGGTGTGAAATCGGAAATCCATCGTTTTTTTTGTCGCATGACTGTAACCTACCTGCTACCTCACCTAGGTACCTACATAACGTAAGGTGGTACCTAAGGCACCTACCTAAGGTATGGTAAGTAAATATCAGGTGGTTAGGAGGGCAACATTTGCAAAGCCCTTCATGCATCCGCTGACAAGCCGCAGCTTCGGCCCAACGATGCTACCCACGGAATACCGGCCATGAACGCAGATCGCATGGGGGGGTCATGCATGCCTCCACAGGTTCTGGCGCGTGGGGAACGTCAAGAACCAAGGCCTCAGCAGCACGCAGCGCATGCTCTTCGTGTCCTGTCGCGCGCTTAGCCTGGCCCGCACGGCGTCACTTCACTTGGCTGCAGCAGCTTCTGCGCGAGGGGTGCGGTCGTGTCACGACCTGCCCAGCTGGGGTGACGAGGCGAGACGGTGATCAGCCGCTGCGGGTGGTGAGGCGGTGTGAGACGGTTGAGCTGTCTTTGCCGTCTGGTATGGGCGTGATTGTTGCATCGTCCGTGGCTCTGCAACCAACCCCGCGAAATGCAACCGTCGGTGCGACTGAATCATGTAGCCGTTGGGATTACCATGACAATTTGTATCTCTCCATTCGGGAACCTCGGAATGGCCATTGATGGTGATGGGCGGGGGACGTCCGACGGAAAACGAGTGTAGCACCACAGTGAGCGAGTTAGCATCACAGTGGGCGAGTTGGCACCACAGTGAGCGAGCCCCCTGTGGTCCACTGCGCGTCGCCTGTAGCAGCCGTGGTCCCTGGCCATCCAGTGGCTCAAGACAAGATCATCAGCGCAGCCACACGCTGTGCCGCTACCTGGTTCTCCCGCCCACCGTGCCTCCCCACCTCGGTCAGTGTTCTCTCCTTCTGACATCCAAACACCCACAACTGCAGCTGCACTCTCGGCACCACATCTGGTGATCACTTCCCGCGGCACACGTACCGAGATGCAACAAGTCTGGCTACGATCCGGATGGGCCACCCATTGGCCTGGGTAGGAGGCACCATCAAACTCAATGGATATGCCGAGATACTCATGGTCGCCGTACCCTCCTCAGTCCCTCGTGATCGTCACCGACCTGGAGGTGCACTGACAGTACCTGGGAATACAACATGCATTCTCCGCGTCGACGAGTATGGGGGGACACACAGCCCGCAGTCAGCTCGCATGGCGGCTGCCTACCAAAAGCAATCATGGCAAAGCGGACGACGGACGAGTCTGGGCCAGACGGGACCCTCGTCAACGAATCGAATTCCATACATCTTCTCCAGACCCAGCACGCCCCAGACACGACACGGGAACGAGGCCGCCCTAACTACTTCGCCGGACCCATGTCGTCGGAAAGCTGCATGGTGAATCGGAGCCTCTTGGACCTCACGCCTACCCAGCTCGCAGGCCTGCGTGGTCAGATGCCTGGGCGGCCCCCGGCCTACCATGCCGCACAGCGTCCATCCCGTGCGTGCACCTATGGTACGGCGCCATCCATGTCTGTCGGGGAACCCATCGGGCATTTTCATTACGAAACCCCGGACGAGTCGACGTCGTCCTGGCGGGCGTACAAAGCAGGACGACAACGGCACGAGGCTTGGGGAGCGATGCCTGGGGAGCAAGGCCGCCTGCGCTGTGCATGATCGCACACCACGTACCTTTCGTTGGTTGGAAGCACAACGGTGACAGAAGGAGAAGGACTTCACGAGACCTCTCTCTCTCTCTCCCACCTCCTCCTACTCATGCTGGACTCCTACTCATGATGTAAGAAGCATGCGTAAGAGTCGGCGTTCTTCCTACTAATCAGCCACTAGACAGAAACACCCTCCCCCCTGGAGAGCTCGAGAGACCAACCCCCACACGATCCCTCATCCGGCCCACCACTCCACCACCCCCCTTGGCGGTATCGGTATCGATGTCTTGCGCCGTGCATTCGGCCTCTGTCACCTTACTTGGCCGGAACTTTCTTCCTCGGTCACTATGCGATCATGTCACCCGGAACGCATCTAGAAGTGCGCAGCCCACCCTAGCGAGTCCTACCTACCCCTGAGGTTGAGGTTGGGGAGGGGGCGGAGGGGGGCCACGAGACCAGCAAGTCTTCTAAACCCACAGTGTTCGTCCTGCAACTCGCGCCCAAAGAGGAACCGAACCAGTACCCTCAAAGTACTCCAATGTCACCTGCTGATTCCTTCCCCTCCAGAGCTCGCTTGCTGCCTTCGTTGCGTTTGGTCTTACTCAGACGTTCATTCAAATAGAGACACGGGAGACATATTGCCTCTATATTCAGCCGCCGTCGCTCGACTCTCAGGCCCGAAAGAAACCCCCCCATCCTGACGTCCTCCACCCCCATCACCCTAAGCCCTTTTCTTCCTTCTCGACTCTTCTCCGCTCTCCCCCACCAGAGAGGATCACACTCGGCAGGGTCGAGCATGACAAGGATGACCCCATCGTCTCACTGCTCTCCATCTCCACCGAGCCCCAGCTCTTAGAGGCTTCCACTTAGCTTCACCTGCTGGCCGTCGTACCTTGTTCGCTATTGGCGATTGATGACAACAAACGGGTCTTAATGCCTGGATAAGTTGATCACGACACCAGCAACAATACACTCCTCCGGTAGCACCACCCGGAGGCACAGACTGTCTCCCCGTTGGACCACCTTATAAGCACAACGGATCCCACCCCCCTTCTCCTCTCTCTCTGTTCCAAGTCGACCTGTCTCCGAAGTTGTTGCGTTCCGGCAGGTGATTGAGAAGAAGAACCCTTGACGTCGAAACTGCCAGCAGCAGTCCCACGCACCTACGCACTGCGCCCATTCCGCAGGAGTTGCGAGTTTTAATCGCCGCATTCCGGGCCATCACCAACCGAAGCGTGTCACCGTCATCGGGTTCAGTTAGAGCCGATCCCCGGCACGGCGGTTACTCCGCATCAACGTCTTGCATCGACTCCGGACCGGATTTCACGTGCGTGTGAGTGAGTGTGTGTGTAGATGCACCGCGCAGCCTTCTGCATGTCGGCCAGCTTTGGCATCAGGCCCCTCCTTCGAGGGGCCGGCATGAGCGGCCCTCTGCTTGCTGGGCGTGCCACACTACTGCCCTGCCAACGGACTTTCACCACCACTCCTGCACGTCGCGCAGAGCAGCACCAGGGTTCTGAGCACAGCTCCGAACACCGAGGATGGAACACACGGTCCGTCCTTGCTCTCGCCGCTGCGACGGGCACCATCGGTTGGGCGCTGGCGAGTAGTCGCCAAGAGGCATCTTGGGGCACGTCGCTCTTGACCTCGGGTCGAGGCCCGACGCTGCTGGATGGCAAGCCAGGCCGCCAGCCGCAGTATGCGAACATGTCTCAGATGGAACGTGTAGGTGCCGTCCTACTCCTACTGACTGTGAACGAGCAAGGATGGCTGACGGCAGTGACACAGGCCTTGAAGGAAATCGAGAACTCGCTGGGCCAGGAGGACATCATCTCCACCGATCCCGAGGATCTCCATGCTCACGGATATTCAGAGTGGTCATCGACCAACCCTGAAGGACTCCCTGTCGCCGTCGCTTACCCTCGGTCGACGGAGCAGGTTTCGGCCATTGCGCGCATCTGCAACAAGTACCGCATCCCCATCATCCCTTACTCAGGCGGTTCCAGCCTCGAGGGCAACTTTTCTGCTCCCTTTGGCGGCATAAGCGTTGATTTTGCCTACATGGACAAGATTATCAAATTCAACAAGGAGGACATGGATATCGTCGTTCAGCCCAGCATCGGCTGGCAGGATCTCAATGAGCAGCTTGCCAAGCAGAGCAGCGGGCTCTTCTTCCCCATCGATCCTGGTACGTCTTGTGAACAAAACCATGAGTTTATCCATTCGAATGGCTGCTGAAAAATGAGGACAGGCCCGAGCGCCAAGATCGGCGGCATGATTGGGACCAACTGCTCTGGAACGAACGCCGTCAAGTACGGCACCATGAAGGACTGGGTCATCAACCTGACGGTCGTCCTAGCCGACGGCACAGTCATCAAGACGAGGAGACGGCCAAGGAAATCATCCGCGGGCTACAACCTCAACGGCCTCTTCGTCGGGTCCGAGGGCACGCTGGGTCTGGTGACTGAAGGCGAGTAGTCCTCCTGTCGAAGCCCCCCCGCGCAACGACCGACTGACTGTCTGCAGCGACTCTCAAACTCGCCGTCATCCCGCAAGACTTCTCGGTTGCCGTCGTCACATTCCCCACCATCCGCGACGCCGCTTCAGCCGCCGCCGAGGTGATGCAGAACGGCATCCCCGTCGCCGCCATGGAGATCATGGACGAGGTGCAGATGAAGGTCGTCAACATGGGCGGCGCCACGGCCCCGCGCGTCTGGAAGGAGCTGCCGACGCTGTTCTTCAAGTTCTCGGGCACCAAGGCGGGCGTCAAGGAGAACATTGGGCTCGTCCAGAGGATCACGCGCGCGCATTCTGGCGGCCACTTTGAGTTTGCAAAGGATGAGCGCGAGCAGAAGCTCCTGTGGTCCGCGCGTAAGGAGTCGCTCTGGTCGATGCTTGCGCTGCGCCGGAACGGCGAGGAAGTTTGTGAGTCGACCCGCCGTCATTATGCCCGCTCGCTACCATCCTGGCTTTTTCCTCGTTTTTTTTTTTTTTTTGTGACCTGGCGGGTATAGCTTCATGAGACTAATTATACGTCGTAGGGAGCACTGACGTGGCCGTTCCCTTTAGCCGCCTCGGCGAGCTCATCGAGGTGAGCAAGAAGGAGATGGACGACCTGGGCCTCTTCGCCAGCATCCTCGGCCACATTGGCGACGGCAACTTCCACGAGAGCATCATCTACAATGCGCAGAACCCCGACGAGCGCAAAAAGGTCGAAAAGTGCGTCAAGAACATGGTGCAGCGGGCCCTCGACATGGAGGGCACATGTACGGGCGAGCACGGCATCGGCTGGGGCAAGAAGGAGTCGCTGCTGCTGGAGGCGGGCAAGGACACGCTCGGTGTGATGAAGGCGATCAAGTGGGCGCTGGACCCCCTGTGGATCATGAATCCGGGAAAGATTATGGATCTCCCTTGAAGTGTCGAGGGACAGAGGCAAAGCATGGAGGACGCGCGAGTCCGGTCTACCGCTGCTCGACCATCTGGCTCTTGCATGGGTTCAGCAGAGGAGCAATCGTTGTTGGTGGGTCCTATTCTGTCTTGTCAGACATGATTGATTCTGTCCTCCGATCATGAGGTTCATCTCGCATCTTGGCAGCGGAACGCACAGAGGATGGGAAGTGGTCAGGTAGGGAGGAGCATTGTAGGGGTATCAAAAAGCGGTTTGCTGGTTGCTATTGCCAAGGTGTTGCGGTCTGGCGTTCGGTGCATGCTAATTGTTGCACATGTCAGGGCTGCGTACATGGTGATAGAATGGAAGGGGACGCAAGCAAGGCTGGCAGTCGATGAGCCACCGACCGCCATCAGCTCTCGTATGTCACTTCCTCCTACACCTGGGGTACCTCGCCTTGCGTGCAGCAAGTGAATGCGTCGCTTGGAAAAGACTGAACCAAAAACTTTGAGCTCCGACAGACGCTGACAGCCACAGTTCGGATGCCCCATCCCGCAGCCGCAGGCAAACACGTGAGTATTTTCTCTTATCAATGGAAGAGGGTAAACGTGGTTTGCCTCTCGAACAACAGTGTCGCCTGTCGTGATCTTTTAAAGCTTCTTTCCCGTTGTGTTTGCCTGGACTCTCTCTTGTCACTATCTCTTTCTTCCTTCCTCTTGGAGCAGTGAATCACAGAGAACCGCCGTCACCTCTTTCCCTGCTGCCTTCTGCTCCAAGCAAAATCCTCAACATCTACCCTGCCTCCTCTTGGCTAACGACTGAACTCAACACAGCTCCCTTCCCTTAGCCAGCACCAACTGACCCAGGTGCTGATGGCTGGCTGGCATGTCCCTCATCACGATGGATTCTCCCAATAAGCAAGCCAGCGGCACGCCACCCTCGAAGGTGTCAAGGACTTCACGTGGAGGAAGACTGACGCATCACCGGCAGCACTCGGGCATTTCAGCACCTGCCCAGCGCCCCGGACAAGAAGACTGGCGAAGATGGCCCCAGATCAGCGTCAGGCTACGAGGCCTCCCGATCATCAGTGTCCAAGACATCCACACAGAGTTCACCAAGTACGGCAACATTGTCTACATCGAGCACTTTGAGGGTAGGCAAGGCCAGCCCACCGGCGAAGCCCGTGTCCGGTTCGAACCACCTCCTGTGACCCCATTCTGGTCCAACGGCCGCTACGTCTTCGCTCGAGTGAACCTGGCCCCTGCCCAGGCGGCGGTTCCCATTCGCATCGAACTCGACCCGCCCTCCCACGCCTTTGGTGCCATTCGTAGCACGGTCAACTCGCGGCTATTCTATCCGGCAAGAATGACCTTGGACATCAAGACGCTGGAGTTCAGTCCTACGGGTAAAGGGCCCGAGATCATGCCCAAGAAACAAGTGGTTTCCCAAGGTCAGGGCAACGACCCCAAGTGTATCCGGCTGAAGGCCGACTTTCGAAACAAAACCCTCGCGATTTACTTTCCCATCTCCATAACGCCAGACGCCGAGTTGGGCCAAGTCTTTGGAGAGGAACCTTGCGACAACGCCATCCGTGAATACAAGATTCTGATTGACCTCGCTCATATGCGGCGTGCGTCGCTCGTCGATCTCGGAAATGGCGATTTCCATCTCACGATACCCCTTCGCTATCCGCCAGCGTACTACTTCAAGAACCAAGATATAGCTCGCAGTTTTGAAGCCGACAGGCTCATGTGGACCGAGAACGACCAGTGGGTGCGCGCCTCCCATGTCCTCGACGACAATGACCTCCCCCAGGACTACAGTCTCGGCCTCCTTAACCAGTGGGATGACCCAAGCTTCATCGACATTGGCCGCTGGACGACGTTCCGCATGCGGCTTGATGCTCCTGGCCAAGACCTTCGCAATCTGACAGGGGCCCTTGAAGACCTCAATATCGAGCTCACGCGCCTTGACAAGAGCTCAGAACTACCAGATCAGTTGTGCCTCATCCCGGCTGAGAACCAACCAGTTCGAAACAAGCCCGTCAAGACTTCCAAGCCAGATCCGAATGATGATTGGCTTTCCTTGATGCATTCGAATGCCACTTCTTCACCCACAGCGAGATTTTTTGACTTTGCCGTGCAGTATCAGCTCGAGGTCTGCATCTCTCGTGGCATCCTCTGCGAGTACAAGCTGTCGCAGGAGTTTCTAGATCGTCTCCGAGGTCTCCAGCAGGACCGCGCCAAATGGATACTGGAATACTTTGCCGACCGAGGCAAGGCCGTCGAGCAGCCGATGGACATCTTTGAGAGCCACGAAGCCAACTGCTACTACCCCAACCCGGTGGTGCCTCACTACTGCGCCATCGTCCGAAAAGTCGTCGTCACGCCCACGACCATCTACCTGAGTTCTCCTGGCGTCGAAGCCAGCAATCGCGTGATACGAAAGTACCAGCACGTCTCTGACCGCTTTCTCCGCGTCCAGTTCACGGACGAGCTCACGCGAGGCAGAATCAGCACGCGAGCCAAGATGGAGCTGGACCACTATGTGTTCAAGAGGGTCTATCTAACCATGATCAACGGCATCCGCATCGGCGACCGCCACTACAAGTTTCTGGCGTTTGGCAATTCTCAGATCAGGGAATGCGGTGCCTACTTTTTCTGCGAGACGGCCCATCTCAAGTGCACCGAGATGCGTCAATGGATGGGCAATTTCAACCACATACACATTGTGGCCAAATTCGCAGCCAGACTGGGACAGTGTTTCTCTACAACGCGCGAGATTCGCAGCATTCGGGCCCCCAACATCCAGATCATTCCCGACATTGAAAGAAACGGCCATTGCTTTACAGATGGCGTGGGCAAGATCTCCTCTTTCCTCGCCAGCATGGTACTAGAAGAGATGGGCCTCGAGACAGTCGAGACGCCGTCGGCCTTTCAGTTTCGCATGGGCGGCTGCAAAGGCGTTCTTGCCGTATGGCCCGAGGCGAAGGGTATGTATGTGCACATTCGGAAATCGCAGGAGAAGTTCAAGGCGACTTTCAACGGCCTCGAGATTATTCGCTGCGCGCGGTTCTCCGTGGCCACCCTGAACCGCCAGACCATTACGATCCTCACATCCCTGGGCATCAAGTCAGAGGTCTTTATGGACTTGCTTCAACGACAGCTCCATGGCTATGAGAAGGCCATGAATGACCAGGGTGCCGCTGCGGTTCTCCTCGGCCGTCACATTGACGAGAATCACACATCGCTGGCGCTCAGAGACCTGATCAACTGGGGGTTCATGCGCCATGATGTCCAAGAGCCCTTCGTCCTCACCATCCTGCAGCTCTGGCGGGTATGGTCCATGAAGCTGCTACGGGACAGAAT